AGAAGGGGCCTTAAAGAGCCGTCAGTCCCAAATTTTCCAAACCTGGATGATCAACACTTGGGAAGCTGCTAAAACTTCAGATGCTTGAGGACCACTCAGATATACTAACTCTGAAAACTGGGATAGGCTAGGGATTTGTATTTTTAACAAGCCCCCAGGTACCAAGCTACTCATCTAGCTTTTGAACCAAGATAGAAGCCCAGAAAAGGGAAGTTCCCTGCCCATTCAGGGCCTTAGGTGGCAGGAGGATAAGTGGGAGCTAGGTCCCCCGATCCCTGATCTGGTCTTTTTCCACCAAGCTATGTTATTGGAGGCCATCTTATCAACCCATAACCTCTGCACAAATCCCCTCTCCAACATGCATGATGAGCAGTTTAAGTATCTCCTGTGTGGAGGAACTCAGCATGTGACAAGGACACTTGACCCACTGCTGAACATCTAACTCTCCAGTGTTGTCTTTTAGCCAGCCAAAATACTGAACAAGAGAAATCCTTAGCCTGGCACATGAGGTCTTCCCTAAACTGTCTCCACTGATCTTTCCAGCCTCATTACCCACCAGGACTCACTCATACTCTGCCATCCAAACCATGGACACTGGTATGGGGGTCTACTTCTGCCAGTCTGCAACATCTAGCACATAGAAAGTTCAAGAGTGAATGGATGGAGAAGGCGGATGAACACATGAAGTGTGTTCACATTGCACTGGAACTCAGGCAAGTGTCTACTTTGCCAGTACAAATAAGTCAAGAGTCGTAATTCTGTGCTCTTGCAGTCAATCTCAAGTCTATTTTTGAAATGGAATATCTCCTACCAGAAATGCATTGTGCAAAAGTCTGCTGGAAACCACCAAAGACATGCAGGTCTCTCCCCCTCACTGAGCCAAGAAATCACCTGCTTACACCCTCTGCTCCCACCTCCCTTCTCATTCACTATTCCCCTGGCAGAACGATCTGGTCTTGCCTCACCCCCACTTCCCCGCCTCTCCCCCAACTTAACACGGCCTCAAATCAGATCATTCTCCAGCATGTCCAGATCAGATCGTGTCTCTTACCCGTTAGTGTTACAGTAGTGCTCCCTTATTTGTGGGGGATACACTGCAAAGACCCCAGTAGACGCGTGAAACCAGATAGCACAAGCCCAATTTATTCCGTGTTTTTTCCTAGACATACATACCTTTGACAAAATTGATTAGGTATATCAGAGATTAACAAATCATATGCTGTACTAAATTATGTAAACATGGTCTCTCTACACCTTATTGTCCTGTACTCAACCTTCCTGCGAGATGAAATTCCTCCATGGTGAGATAAAGGGAAGTGAATAACACAGGCACTGTAACAGCAATAGACTACTACTGACCTTCTGAGGATAGATGCATCATGAAGACCATCAGTCATGATTTTGTGGACTGCAGTTGAAGCCGTGAAAACTGAACTGTGGACGGAGGGCAGGGGGTGCTACTGCACCTCTCCCAGAAGCCTCCCAGGACCCAGCCTCCCTACACTGATGTTCTTGGCTCTGAATTTTTTATTTTTTTATTTTTTTTGAGTCAGAGTCTCACTCTGTCGCCCAGACTGGAGTGCAGTGGCCGCTCCCGGCCACCGCAGCCTCAACCTGCTGGGCTCCGGTGATCCTTCCGCCTCAGCCTTCTGAGTAGCCAGAATTACAGGCATGCGTTACCACGCCCGGCTGATTTTTTGATTTATTGTAGAGATGAGGTCTCGCTGCCCAGGCGGGTCTCGAACCCGCGGGCTCAGGCAATCCACTCACCTCAGCCTCCCAAAGGTGTGGGATTACGGCTGAGCCACCGAGCCTGGCTGGCTCTGAATTTTTATGTTACAATCATGCACCATCTGCCATTTCAAGGAAGAGGGGGCCAGGCCATGAGATGATGGGTAAGTTTAACTTCCTGAGCTTTAAGAACAGCTATCTCCCTAGCTCCCAGAACAGGGACACAGCAAGCGGTCAGCCAACAGGGAAGTTGATTAGCCATCTAATGTTTGTTCAATAAACCCATGGCAACTGGCACCTTGCTGAACACAGTATAGGCATACAAATATGTATAGGTACACAAATAACACACAGTATAAGTATACAAATCTAAGTCCTGTGCACCATTACATGCCCAGCAGAAAGCAGATCCTCAGTATTGAGTGACAGAATAAATGCTCAGCCACTCTGGAGTCAGGCGATTGCATTCCAATCTCAACCCCACCACTTGACGGCTGAGACAGACAAGATGCCTAACTGTTCTACACCCTTTCCAACGTGGGGGTGGGGTCCAGTCTTTTGGGGTTTGCAGATGGAGACCATTGTTCATAGAGTTACAACAGCACCTGCCTGGACTCCATGAGAGCCTCATGCTGCCTTTAAGGACAGTCCAAAATAATCAACCTGCTAGGGAAAGAAGGGAGCAGAAGGGAGTTCAAAGTTGCCTGGTTATGTAGGTACATCCAGCTACAAAAAGAACTCAAGGGTGTGGTGCCACAGCAAGCTAAAAAACACCCCAAATATCTACTGGAGACACTATAACCACCCCTAGCTTCTCTCCTTGCCAAACTCTTACTAGGCCACAGCTTCCAACAGTGCCAGGTTCAGGCACCGTTTCGGCTTAGTAACATAAACTTTGCATTTCTAGGAGGGTTCTTCCAAAATCTGTTGACAGCACAGCAGGGTCTGGTTATTGTCAGAGCCTACAAAGTGCTCCAAGAATCCTCAAGCTCAACAGCATAACTGGCCACAATTTAAAGCAAGTTCTTGCAAGTCCTTGCTTCCTGCAACTGTCGCTTGGCACTAGTTTCCAAACTGTTCTCACAGATGCTGCATCCTGAGCCTCAAAACAGCCTTGAGTGAGGGCAGCTGATTGATGCCCTTGGGAGTCCCAATTTAAAGAGTTACTCTCCCCAAAAGTGGACCAGGTGACTTCCCCCAAAATACATCCAGATGCAGAAGCATGCAAAGGGGACACAAAACTAGGCAGCAGAAAGACAAGGGCACAGGGTGGCAACAGTAGAAGCCTCGAAGGACTGGAAAACATACACCTGTCCTGAGGGACACAACCCACCCTCTGGTCACTGTCACCATGCAGTCAGGTGGACTACTGCTGTCTCGTTTCAAGACACTGAAAATCTAAACCCCAGGTAAAATATGCCAAGCTTCCAAATGCTATGCCTAACAAAAATCACAGGCAAGATTGCCAGTCTGACTTCTGTAATAACCCGGGTTAGGCAGTTTCCCTAGAGAAATAGGCCCAGCCTGGCTGATTGACTACTCTGGCCCTCCATGACCACAGCCCAACAGAAAAGCATCCTGGATCTTGTGACTATGCCAGTATTCATTCAGGATGCCCGCAACTGTGCCCTTTTCTTCACGTCAGTCTTATACCCTGCTCCATGAAAACCAGCTCTACCCTTCAGCTCTTGCTTGCTCCCACCATCCCTGCTCCTGAATTTTGCAACATGTCCTGTTCCTGCAACACTCCCAGAATTCTCACCCAGTGCTGCCCCAAAAGGCTGCTCCGCTCCACACCCTAGTCACAAGTCTCCTCTGGTAACTTTTGCTACCCACAGGCATGGTCTTACACCTCTAAGCACTGTTCATTGGGAAACGCCCATCAGGCCAGGCGCAATGGCTCACACCTGCAATCCCAGCACTTTGGGGAGACAGAGTGGGAGGATTGCTTGAACCCAGGAGTTCAAGATCAGCCTAGGCAACACAGCAAGACCTCGTCTCTAAAGTCAGGTGTAGTGCAACACATCTACAGTTCCAGCTACACAGGAGGCTGAGGTGGGAGGATCGCCATAATCATGGCACTGCGCTCCAGCCTAAGCAACAAATCTCTCTTCCCCTTTCCAACACACTAGGCCACCTGATCTTACCTTCTGGTCCTAGAAGGCCTACCAAGAGAACAGTCATGGGTTCCGCAATCCCAAAGATGCGGCTTCAGGAGAGCCACTGCACAGCATCCTTAGGCCGGCAGGCTCAGTCCCTGGAGTTATCTATTTGCATTCCTGTCCACCCATATACCTCATGCTCTAAAATATCCCACCACCCTTCCTTCCTGCAACCCTACCTCTTCTGCTTCCTTTCTCGAGTCCCCTAAATGCCCCACCAACCAGGTCTTCTGTTCTCTGCTTCCTGTATTTCTCTAGAGCTTTTCACCCAGACTTGGTTCTTAAATAGCATCCACAAGCTTGACTCACAGATGGATGCTCTTAAGGTGCAGGTCCATCAAACATGATCTTCAGGAAAACTCAACAGCAAGCCATTAATGCTTCTCCCTGCCACCAACCCAAATATGCTAGCTCTCCAACTCACATTGTCCTCTCAGACACCTCCACCCACCCTGCAACCCTAAAATGTTCCCCCTTTAATCTCCCAATCCCATACAACTGACCAATAACCATAGTGCAGGCCCTTAATCCTAATGCCCAAAAAAGTCAATCTTAGAATCAGCATTTGGTAAAGGAAAAGCAGCACACAGATAATCCTCAATGTTTCTTTAAAATATACAACTTTTTCACCAGGCACTTAATTATACACCACACCCAAATACTCATTAGACTGGAGCCTCCCTCAAATTCCCCACTCCTTACCCTATAAATATCCACAATCCACAGATTATGATCAAAGGATTCTATTTACTTCAGGGTAAATGGAGACAATGTGACCTAGTAATTTTCATTTCTACCAAGACCATCGAATAAATTTTAAAGTAGCAAGAACTAAGCTGGGGTCTAAGAAAACCTAAAAGTGATTCAGAGTTAAGCTTCTCTTTTGGAGACCAAGCGCACTGAGGAGCACACCAGACTAACTCTATGTGTTGCCTTGCTGCTGAAGCTCCATAGACCTCTTCGTGCTATTAGAGGTAAGGACAACCACCACCCATCACACCAAGTTTTCACTGAATGCTTAATGGGACATCAAAATCTGGGCAACAATTTAAATCAGCAGTTAACAGCAGACTAGTTTTCTAACAGCCCCAGTAAAATGCAAACATATTTCAAACCAGACACGTGAAAAGTTTTTAGTTTATTAAGCTGGTCGTGAAAAATCCAAACAATGGCCACAGATACCATCACTGCACCATCTTTAGTCCTTTGCCTGCAAATCAAGAGAAGTTTAGTTAGCAACTACCTTTGAAGTTCTTTAAAAATTAAAGTCTTCAAATTCTAAAATTAACACTCATGCAGTACAGATATTAGTAACCTACATTATCATGTTCTTCTGTGATGTAAGCACAATAACATACAAACATTCAAGTTAGGAATAAAACAAAAAAAATGTTAAATGTTACAAATTTTAAAAACAAAACCACGTCAAGTTAGTATTTTAATTGGCACAACTCTTCAGAGCATCTGCAAGTCTACTTCTAAATGTATTTCTACTTTTAACTACTGCAACAGTAAACCAAGGAGTCTACTAATCTAACAAAAGTTTGAATGATACCTGTTATCCAATCTCCAGCTCACTGAATCAGGGGCAGGGAAGGGAAAAGAGGAAAGAGGAAAAAAGAAACATTTCATTAATACTTCCTTTTCAAACTTCAAAATAACCTACATTTAAGTGCATGCAATCAGATCCCTTAAAGATGAACGGTTTGTTCTTTGCAACTGTACGGAGTATTCTTTGGACACACTCGTTGGTTTTATTCCTAATTCTGAGAACATTTTACCTGATTACTGTGGTTCTTATACAAACAAGGTGGCACAATGACCTCACATTATTACACCAATGTGGTACCAATCCAGGATGTGACATTTGCCTGAGCCTCAGACCCTCTACTCAGCCGAACATGGGCCAGGCAAGCCCACACCACCCACAGATGGGAGAATCACCAGTCTCAAAAGTCTAATTTCAGCTCAGTGGGAGGGCTCTAAATGATCAGGCAAGTCTTTAAAAGGACTCTCAGTTCAATACTTTAAAAAGTGCCATTCACAGCCACAAAAGTAGTACAAATTAGTATTTAGAAAGAGGCATCAATTTAGTGAAGTAAAAATACTATAATTGCTCTTCAAATATGAGACTATGTCTTAAAACACTCCACTGCCACCTAAAGATAAGAACAAATACCAATTCTAACATCTGAACAAAACTGAAAAGGAACACTGCTATGCCATTTTTTTTTGGAGCCATAATTTATGTGCTCACATTCATGCATCCATTTTCCAGCTGGCTTTTCAGAGCAGTGCAGGGGAGAAGCACCAGTGCAACTTAAAGAAGGAACAATGACAGCTCCAGTCTCCACAGGTAGCTTTTTCGTACATGTGGGGCTCAAAGTCTGGATGAAGAATCAATGTGCTAAATGTCCTCCAGACATACATCAGGACAAACTCTCTTTTTGCAACTTCTCCCAACAGGTACAATCCTCAAACAGGGAGGGTTCTATGTAGGGAGTAATTCTGCTGCCAGTTCATTAGCAACTCCATGGTACTGGGCAGGTACTACTAGGTTTACTGCCTAAGCAGTACTGGCAAGAAATTCCTGCAAAAGGAAGCCACAGGAGCAGCAGGCAACACTCTTTCAAAACCCCACTGCACCCAGCCCACTTTTAGCATGCTTTAAGCATTACAAAATGCAGGCTGTTCAAATATGCAAACCGTTTTGGAAATGGAGTGGTGGGCAAACGCCTGTGGAAAAGCATATCCATCAAAGGCTTTGATGTGAATACATAATCACCCCCAAACCATTTTCAATTAGAAACAGACACCTGAAAAAAAAAAGCTATTAAGTCATAAGCAATGGAAATAGAAAGAGGCGGCTTTGAGTGAATACAACAGGACACAGGCTTTGCCACAGTTCATGGACTAGTTCATCACCAGAGCTGGTCTCGTGGCTTCAGAGAAGACTGCACCCTGGTGGACAAGAGCGCTTTGTACGTACAGTGTTAACTGAAGTCACTTTCTGAGCACATGGTTCTCTGGGACACACCATTTCCCAAGTGCAGTCAAAAGGGGCCTATTTGGTGAAGCACCTACCTTCCCTCCAGTGAGTCACTTCACCATGTAACATGCACTTCTGGGTTTCCAAAATAAGCATGATTTAAGTTTTCCCTTTGTTTGTAACATACTATCTTAAAAAATAGCACCAGCATTCCAACAAACAATACTATAAAACTGTCATCCAAAGCCAACATGCAAAGCATCAATCCAATCAATCTCAGTGAAGTCAGTGAAGGTGATGCAACCCCACACCGTGCTCAATCTCAGCAATCTCAGTACCTGCTATAGACACTTCATTTCTGATGAACAAGAAATCCAAGAAAGTAGAGAGGAAAAGCAAAAAAAAAAAAAAAAAAAAAAGTTCACAGAACACTTGATTATTTGTTAATTCAACAACCCAACACCTCATTCAACTACTTACAATGTACAACTATTTCAACTATTTACAGCTAGCAAAGCTGGTGATCAGGAACATCAATTCGGTCCTGGACAACTGGAGGAAGGCAATCCTGCAATCTTGGCTGCCTCTCCAGTTTGCCAGGAAAACCCAGGCCACATTGATCCAATTGCTTCTTAAACCACTCTTCATGTTAAGAAACAAGTTAAACCCAGGGAATGATATCTGCACCCTCTTTAAAGGTCTGTGCCAATTACGGAGAATGAAAACGTTTTGTGATAGGGCTTGAAAGGCACCCACCAGGATCAATAAACCAATGTGGCCCCCACATTGTGCTATACTGTAAGCCAACAAGGGGTGGGGGCAAAGCTACTGAAGACACTATGAAGACACTATGATAATAGCTTCTCAAAACATGTTACCTTCTGCAATCCAGAAGAGGAGAAAAAAGAAGAAACAAAGAAAGGTTATTAAGAAAACAAACCCCCTTCTCCCCAGGAACTAAAGACCTATTATAAGTGACACCTGTTTCCCTGATGAACTATACCTTTTTGCCAGCACCAACATTGGCTTTTGCAGTCCCCCTGACTTTCTTCATTCTGTTCTTGCGTTCTTTTCGCTGCTTCCTTGAGGTCTTTTTCTTCTCATACAGGCCATGCTGAAGGAGGAAAAAGTGTAACTAGGTTACTTGCAAACATTACCTACTACCCTGGCAGGGAAACTGACCCAGTCAGGTTCAAGAAACGCAGCTCTACAAACCAACACTTTTCAAGTACATTTAATACTTACTGTACTAAAGCAGAAAGGACCAAGATAGTAAGCACAGAACAGCTTCACAAGAATCAAATGGTCCATTCCACGCTCTTTGAGCAGGAAGTTGAAGAGACTGGCTCTTACTGTCCAGCCTTGAGCTCACTGGTCTTTTTTCTTTGCTCTACCAAAGCAAGACACCTCTCAAATGACTTCTCACCCAGGTTACTCCCTGATGGCAAGGCTGGCTTTACCAAGAGCCCGACCCTCCCACCAGAGATCTCAACCTACTCATCTCCACTCGGCCCACCTTTGTACTTGCTGTTCCTGCTGCCTACATGATTGTTTCCCTACTTTACAAAGAATGTCTCCAAATCTTTACAAGGATCCCAGCTTCAATGTCACCTTCTCAGAATATGAACATAAATCCAGTTAAAAATAGTGTTGGCTGGGTGTGGTGGCTCATGCCTGTAATCCCAGCACTTTGGGAGGCCAAGGCAGATCACTTGAGGCAAGGAGCTCAAGACCAGCCTGGGCAACATGGAGGTAACCCACGCATTCAAAAAATACACAAAAACTAGCTGAGCATGGTGGCACATGCCTACAGTCCTAGCTACTTGGGAGGCTGAAGAGGCCCACTTGAGCCCAGAAGTCTGAGGCTGTAGTGAGCTGTGATTGTGCAACTGCACTACAGCCTGAGACTCTCAGGGATGCTCTTCAAATAGCGCGGCATCTATCTACAACATCACCAAAATTTCTCTCACGGCTATTATACAGGAAGATTTCTCTGGCAGGAGGATAAAACAGATTAAAGAAAAAAAAAGCATTTTAAGGAAATGATGTTTGCTTGTTTACCACAATGTATGCTAAGCAGCTTGCCCAACTCACAGCTATAGTTCACTCCACAGTACTTGGTACTCAGTATATGACCAAAAACCTCTCGTGGTCTCTGGCTACCTGTGGGATTAAGTCCAAACTCAGACTTTTGGTAATAAAGGTCCTCACTGGATTTTGGTGCCAGGCTACCTTTCCAATCTCATCCCCCTATATCCTCTCTAGAAAACACCCTTATCCCCAGCCCATCTCCACAGGCACTATTTTACCTTCTCTTCTGAACCTAGCTCAAATGCCAGGCTCCAATTTGAAATCCCTGTACTTGACCTATGCATTTTATCAAAGAACCTTTCCTTGTAACCCTTTAGAGTTCTTTATATAGCTACATGTCATCCCGTCTAGACTGTTTGGTCTTGCTCATTCTACTACACTCATAATACAATTTTATTTTTAAAAAAATGTTTTCTGTAACTGCTGAACAAACCAAAGACACCTACTCTTGCAAGCCTATGTTTGGGTTCATTTTTCTTTGCATAATCCAAGGAATCATAAATCATGCCAAAGCCAGTTGTCTTGCCACCACCAAAATGAGTTCTGAATCCAAATACAAAGATGACATCTGGTGTTGTCTTGTACATTTTGGCTAGTTTTTCCCGAATTTCTGTCTTAGGTACTGTTGCCTTCCCAGGGTGAAGGACATCGATGACCTAAAAAGAGTATCAAGTTTAGTGTTTATTATAGTAAAATATGACTTTGGAACAATTAAGCCAAATGTTGGTGTGTCCTTACCATTTGTTTCCGTTGAAGCAGACGGTTGGTCATGAATTTCCTGGTCCGAATAGTTACCGTGTCGTTCTGAGAACAAAAACACTCTAGTTAGTAAAACTACTCAACCAGCAAGGCTTGGTGGCTCATGCCTTTAATCCCAGCAGCACTTTGGGAGGCTGAGACGAGATGACTGCCTGAGCCCAAGGGTTCGAGACCAGCCTGGGCAACATGGCAAGACCTCATCTCTACATAAATAAAAATATTAGCCAAGCATGGTGGCTCACACCTGTAGTTCCAGCTACTGGGAAGGCTGAAGAAGAAGGATCACCTGAACTCAGCAAGTGGAGGCTGCGGTGGCTGTGAGTGTGCCACTATACTCCAGCCTGAGTGACACTGAGACACCAACTCAAAAAAACAAAAAAACCCAAGAAACTACTCAACCTTTCCCTGTCCTTGCTGTGGTTTTCCAAGACCTAGAACCATGCCATACAAGTTGGTAGCCACTAGCCACGTAGCTCATTAAATGTCTTAGCTGCAATTGCCACACTTCAGATGTTAAACAGCCACAAGAAAGCTTCAATTTAAAAAAAAAAAAAAAAAAAAAGGACACAAATTCCCATCTCCTTCCAATTCAGTAAGAACAGTGCCAAATTCACAGGACACACTTAACAAGCACATGAAGTACAAAAAAAAAAAAACCCCACTCAACAGTTGTGTGTGAAATCTGTAGATCTTAACCCACTAATATTTTGGTCTAGATAATTGTTTGTTGTAGGGACTGTCCCGTATATCTTAGAATATTCCTCAGACTCTATGGCATCTAACCACCAGAGGCCAGTAGCACCTGTCTACCCTAGTGTGATAATCAAGTCTCCAGACTGCCAATTTATTCCCTTAGGAGCAAAACTACCTGCCCCCGACTGAGAACCACTTCTCCAGAGTAAAAACTACTGCGGTTCATATAAAGGTTACACTCACAGAACTCTATAATCCTGCACAAACCTGACACAAACACTGCACTCACTACCTGAACGTAAACTACCCTTCTCAAATGGCCAACAGCCTCCAAGCCTCAACAGCACTCTCCCACTTAATAACTACCAAGAAATACAGGCACACAGAAACCTAATGCTACTTAAAAAAACAACTTTCCCCCAAAAGGGAGAGAGGCTTTTGTAACAGCAACTGATTTGCTAATCCTCCCATTTACGCTTTAGAAACCACATCGAATTAAAGACACTTCCAAGGCGAGAGTAAGGGATCAGAGGAAAGAACAGCTCGCAGGCTGAGTGGAATTAAAAACGGGTGCTGGAACCTTTAATGATCGAGTCAACAAGTCGTGACTTACATCAAGACCATCCTTCGGTGGAATCCCCTTCCAGAACCTCAGTTTCTCCAATAAGAAATGATAAGACCCACACACGTTCCGGCTGAGCACGTGGGGGCAGTTTCACTGGCAGCAACTCTTCCAGAAGCTGCCGACCCCTTCTTCAACGCTTGGGCTGCCATCCCTTGCAAGCTGCCCAGGCCAATTTGCGCTGCAGGAAAGAAGCGCCTCCTGGTGTCTACCCCCCACCCCATCCACTGTGCTCCGCGAGGTCAACAAGGGAACCAGCCGCACTCGCAGTGCCCAGGCCCTGGAGCCCGAACCCTGGCATGTCGAGGTCGGCCGTGTAGCCCGCCAGCCCTGACTCCCTGCCAGCGGCTCCGAGACCCGCTGCAACCAGCCTCCGCCAGACGCGACCGGAGAAAAGCAGCAGGGCTTCGGGCGGCTGGAGCTCAGACGGTGGGACCGGGAGTCGCAGGATGGCTCAGATATGTGGCCGATAACCGTACCGCTCCACCGCGACTCACCATGATGGCCGGCGATCCTCAGGCAGTCAGGGAGGAAAAGAGAACAACTTTTCGCCGGCCAATCATATCAACGCGCACGAAAGGACCCCGGGTGTCGATGGCGTGAGGGCGTGGCCCGGACCGCGAGGCTGACCGCGCCAATGCCTGATTGAAAATGCCTACGGCCAGGCCCCACCCACCTCTGGCCACACCTCTAGGGTTCTGGACTGGCCAATCCCGAGGAAGAACTGTTAGAGGGGACTAGATTTACTCAAGCACGGGCTCAATTTCAGTTCAGTTCGTTCTGTTGACTTGCACCCGCGTGAGATTACGCTAAACCAAGCTTTAGGTTAAATCGCCTCCGTCCAAGCTAGAGACGGGTGAGCCTGGAAGGCATTTTACGAGATCCTCTCGAGCAGCCTTCTCCTCCTACAGCCCGGGAAATTGCAGAAACCCTTGCACGAAGACCTTTGTTATTTCAAGTACACAGCATTGCCTGATTTAATTGATTACTCATAGGAGTCTCTATTCAAAACTGAAAATCTCTTTGGCCGAGCACTGTGGATCATGCCTGTAGTTCCAGCACTTTGAGAGGCCAAGGCGGGAAGACTGCTTGAACCCAGGAGTTCGAGTCCAGCTTGGGCAATACACTCCCCGCTCCATCTTCAAAAAATAAAATAAATTAGCTGGCATGGTGGTGCGCACCTTGGCTTCAGCTCCTCAAAGGATCACTTGAACCTGTGTTTAAGGCTGTGGTGAGCCGTGATCACACCACTGCACTCTAGCCTGGTAAGAAAACAAAAAGAAGAAATCTCTTAACTTGTCTTTTTTTGCAAATCTTACTCCTTATAGAAAATAAGCTTTTTAATAAATAGTTGGTTGATCTGGAAATGTTTCACTTAAAGTGAAACCGACATGTAAAAATGTAATATGCATGTTTCAGGAGAAATATTAACAAGAACAAAACTAGTATAGACAAGACCAGGGTGCAGACTTTGAGCTTTCCTATAATTTTCAGAATAACAAGAATAGTTAATATTGAGTGATTGCTATGTGCTTGTTATATTCTAATTACTTCAACCTTCATTTTGCCATTTAACCTTTCCACTAACTCAAAGAAATAGAGTATCTAATTACTCACCCCTTTATAGATGGCGAAACAAGAACACAGTGAAGTTAAATAATCTTCCCAATGCCAGACAGCCTTTAAGTGGTGGTACCTAGATTCCCATGGTGGCATTGTAATTCCAAGAGCTTTCACTCTAGCTAAGTTGCTCATGATCCACGTTGGCATAATATTGTCAACATTACTCCAAAGATGTGTCAAGTGTTGACTACTAAAATCCGTTAGTAAAAACTATTATGCTAGGCCAGACGCTCACATCTGTAATCCCAGCACTTTGGGAGGTGGAGGCAAGAGTATTGCCTGAGCTGAGGGATTCAAAACCAGCCCGGGAAACTTGGTGAAACCTTGTCTTTACAATCAATTTTTAAAAATTAACTGGGCCTAGTGACACTGTAGTTCCAGCTACCTGGAAGGCTGAGACGGAAGGATCACCTGAGCCCAGCAGGTAGAGGCTGTGGTGGCCTTGAGAGTGTGTCACTGCACTCCAGCCTGGGCAGCACAATGAGACTCCGACTCAAAAAAAAAAAGAAAACCTATTATGCTTTGCTTTTTACCTGTGACATTGTGTTTTGCAGGTGGGGAATCCCTGACATCTGTAAAAGAGCATTTCTTCTTAAAGTTCAAAGATGAGTTCCTCACAGTGAGAATTTAGTTCCAGGTTCTGTCACAGTTAGCCCTGTGGTGGTGTGGTTTCCTTACCAGTCTTACACACTAAGATTCACTAGGATCACCTCCCATGGACTGGCACAGACTGTAGACAAATTATTTATTTCTTCAGTACACAAATGATCTTCACTTCCCCTTCTTCCCTAGTCTTCTTTCCTCAGCTCACCCTGGCTCAGTTTTCACTCTAAACTGACAGCTCTTGTTTTTGTAATTAAGACAAAAAATTTCCTTTTTCCTCCAAAAGTACCTTTATGAACTGGGGGCACATAGGCGACCATGTTTTCTCCCCTGTTTATTTTTCCCTTGTTGATGGTGCTTTCAGTTGCATGAGCAGTTTCATTTTAGCCTGCACCTTCTCTTAAACAATAAGAGGCTCCTAATTTAGAAGGCCTTGATGTTGATGATGATGATTTTTCATTTCGTGCAATTTATGGCTCTCTGTCTGAAAGTCTTGAGGGAAAGGGTTACGTGTCTCCGCCGGTGTCTGATTTACTTGCAGAAATGGATCGGACGGTGTCTGATTTACTTGCAGAAATGGATCGGACGGTGTCTGATTTACTTGCAGAAATGGATCGGACGGTGTCTGATTTACTTGCAGAAATGCACCGGTGTCGGTGCAGTTTCACGGAAGGGCCGTCGGGTGGCGGTGTAGGGAGAGGACACAAGCGGCGTGCCGGAAGTCTCTCTCAACAGACAGGCGTGCGGGCGAGTAGCGGAAGAGGAGGCGGACACGTGGGTTGCACTACGGTGGCCGAGAGGATGCCGCGACTGTGTTAGCAGCGACTGAAGAAGTAGCCCCGGGAGGTCCGGGCAGCATCTTTTCTCCATTCAGGCCTCCCGAGTCCCGGGGAGGCGCCCCGGCAGCCGTCACCATGGTGAAGGAGCAGTTCCGGGAGACGGACGTGGCCAAGAAAATGTAAGAAATGTGATCCAAGGGTGGAGAAATGAGGGGCGGAGGGGCCGAGGTCTGCGGTCCCGGGTCTCGAAGTCTCAGCTGTGCGAGGCGATTGGAAGAAGGGACCCAGGCGTCAGCAAAGTGTGACCGAGTACCGTGATAGGTGAAGGAGCGTTGGCCAGGCCGAGGGGATTTCAGCACTTGGTAGTCCCTGGGTTTGGGCAGAGAAAGCAGAACGGCCAAAACCTGGACGGTGGTGCCCTGGGCCGAAGCTCGAGGTCTCCCGAAGTCGTACGGTGGCCCCTTTGTTTCAGCGAACCCTTCCCCACCCGCAGCGAGGGGCGCGATCAGGCGCGGGCCCTGTGTCCTGTCCGGGTTTCGCCGCAGAGCGCATGACGCGGGGTCAGCAGTTGCTGCCCTGAAGAGAGGGGTTGCCAGCTGAAAAGCTGCACCGCAGCCTTCAGAGCTTCTGTGTTAGCCTGCGGCCCCTCCTTAGAGTTCTCGGTAGAAGGATGAATCCATCATCTCTGTAGCAGACGCTGAGGAGGGTACCAGTGCTGGGTATCAGAGATAAGCCGTGAATAACATCTCTTCTTCCTAGTCTAGTAGCAGAAGGGTCACAAATCCATGTCGAGTATGACAAGCGTAGTGACAAAGGTAGATATAGAGGTTCTGAGAGCACCTGATGGGTCCTGGCAGAAGGAGGCAGACCAAATAACATTATTCCAGGGGCATTCGGGAGGCAGAAAGGGTGGCACTGAGAAGGACGCAGGACACTTGAAGCTGTGTTAAAGAGTCTTCTTGCAGGCTATGAGGAATCTCTGTAGGGTTTGAAATAGGGGAGTTTCCTTTTCTTTCTTTCTTTTTTTTTTTTTGAGTTGGGGTCTTGCTCTGTCACCCAGTGCAGTGACCCATGGCTCACTGCAGCCTCAAATTCCTTCATTCAAGTGGTTCTCACACCTCAGCCTCCCAAGTAGCCGGGACTACATGCACACACCACCACGCCTGACTAATTTTTAAATTTTGTGTAGAGGTGGGGTCTTGCTGTGTTGTCCAAGTTGGTTTCAATCTCCTGGCCTCAAGTGATCCTACCTCGGCTCCCAGAGTGGAGAATGCAGGTGTGAGCCACCATGGTTAGCCTAAACAGGGGAGTGTCTTGATAAGACTTCTGGAGGATCTCTTGATTTATGGTGCAAAGAATTAGATGTAGGGAGACCTTGAAACCATTGCACAGATCCAGGCAGGGGATGGTGATGGCCTGCACCAGTGTGGTAGAATCACTGGGGAAAAGTGAATTTCAGAGAGGCTTAGAGTATAAAATGGAAAGGATTGGTAGAGGTGAAGGTAAGGGAGAAATGAGATGGACATACAGAATGTCTTGCTTGTATGGATGGTTGCTATTCACTGGAACAGATGTCTTGCCTAGATGATTGCAGTGTCCTCCCACATTGTCCCTCCATATCCACCTTGGCTCCTCACTTACCCCCAACACCGGCTCCCATTCAGATATAATACATTCTCGCAAAGCAGTTCTGTTAAAATGCAAATGTGGTCAAGGTCACTTTGAGCTTAAAATTCTCTAGTAACTTTCTTTTGTACTGACATTTAAATTCCCTACCTGAGTTATGTGATCTGGCCCCTGCAGGCTTCACTGACTCCTTGTACCATTATCTTTACATGTTCCAGCATACTGCTTTCGTTTGGTTCCTTGACAATGCCACTCTGTGCCAGCCCTAGAACCTTTTCCCTAGTCATTCTCTACATCAAATATTTGTCTTCCTTATGGTCTTATTACTGGTTCCCTCATGTTCAGAATTCAGCTTAAATGTCAGTTTTACAGAGAGGCTTTCTGACCATGCAACATCAAGTAGTTCCTTGGACCCTCTACCACTTTACATCATTTCTGCATCTTCACTTTTCCTTGCCTGTTAATTGTCTGCTTTTGCCACCATGAACTGTGAGCTCCATGTGGGCAGGTACCTTGTCTATGGTAGCTAGTATGCTGCCTGGCACATAGGAAACACCCAGTTAATTGGAAGAATGAATGAAGGGACAGATATGAGAGAGGATATGTTTTCTTTTGTTTTTTGTTTTTTTGAGTTGGAGTCTCACTCTGTCACCCAGGGTGGGGGGCAGTGGCTCACCTCTCAGCCACCGCAGCCTCAACCTGCTGGGCTCCGGTGATCCTTCTGCCTCGGCCTTCCAAGTAGCCAGAACTACAGGCACGTGCTACCACGCCCAGCTAAGTATTGATTTATTGTAGAGACAAGGTCTTACCAAGTTGCCCGGGCTGGTCTCGAACCTGAGAGCTCAGGCAATCCACTCACCTCAGCCTCCCAAAGGGCTGGGATTACAGGCTGAGCCACCAAGTTTGAAGTGCCTGTGAGATATCCAAGCGGAGCTGTCCAGTAGGAGGTGTCTATACCAATGTCTATCTAGCTAAGTATCAGTAGCTGGCAGAGAAAGATTTGACATTTATGTATGCAAGTGACACAATCACTCAGGAGGAAGGTATAGAATAAGAAGATAGGCCAAGTACGGTGGCTCAAGCCTATAATCCCAGCACTTTGGGAGGACAAGGTGAGAGAATTGCCTGAGCTCAGGGGTTTGAGACCAGCCTGGGAAACTTGATGAGACCCCGTCTCTACAATAAATCACTGCACGCTAGCCTGGGCAACAGTGAGACTCTGACTCAAAAAAATAAAAGGATGAAGGCTGTGACCCTAGAGAGGGCAGGATACCAACACTTAAGGAGTGCCTCTGGGCATGGTGGCTCATGCCTGTAATCCCTTTGGGAGGCTGAGGTGAGGGGATTGCCTGAGTCCACAGGTTTGAGACCAGCCTGGGAAATATGGTAAGACCTCATCTCCACAATAAATTTAAAAAAAAAATTATCTGGGTGTGATGGTGCACTCCTGGGGTGCACTCCTGCTTGGAAGGCTGAGGTGGAAGCCTGAGTCCAGCAGACCGGGCTGCGGTGGCTGTGAGTGTGCTACTACACTCCAACCTGGGAAACCTAGTAAGACTCCTCAAAAAAAAAAAAAAAGGAGTGACATAGAAGAGGAGACATCAAAAGAGACTACAATGGAGCAGCCAGAGAGGGGAAGAAGAAAATTCAGAGTGTATGGTGTCACCAAAGCCAGGAAAAAAGGATTTAAACGATTGGGCCAGGCTGGGTGTGGTGGCTCACACCTATAATCCCAGCACTTTGGGAGACTGAGGCAAGAGGATTGCCTGAACTCACGAATTTGAGACCAGCCTGGGCAACTTGGTGAGACCTCATCTCTACAATAAATTTAAAAAAAATTAGCCAGGCATGGTCGCACCTGACTATAGTTCCAGCTACTTGGAAGGCTGAGGCAGAAGGATTACCTGAGCCGAGCAGGTCATGGCTGCGGTGACCGTGAGCATGCCATTACATCCCTCCAGCCTGGGCAACAGAGTGAGACTCCAACTTAAAAAAAAAAAAGAATTGGACCAAGGGGGAGGACTGCCAGTGCTGCATGGTAAATGAGAATGTTTTTATTGCATTGCATTCGGCCACCCGCAGAACCCCTAGGTAGACCTTGCCGAGTGCCTTTCATTAGATGGTGAGAGTGGAAACTGATTCCAGTCCAATGAAGGGGTGTTATTAAAGGAAGAGTGGGAGAGATTTGAATACATGTAGCACTGGTGAGAAGAGTCTGTGAGAGGGCCGGGAGGATAGGTGGGTTATGGTGAATCACAGAGGTAATTGCCATTTTTGGTCACAGGTTTTGTTGTGATTGCTTCCCTTTTTCTTCCTGTTCCAGAAGCCACATCTGTTTTGGAATGAAGTCACCTGAGGAGATGCGCCAGCAGGCACACATCCAGGTTGTGAGTAAGAACCTGTACAGCCAGGACAACCACCATGCCCCCTTACTGTATGGAGTGCTTGACCATAGGATGGTAAGGCCCTCTTCCCAGCATCTGTGTCTTGTCTTGCTTATAAAACCAGAGATTTGCCAGACTGAAAGAATCAAGGGCTTCCTTTCATCTTCCCAGCTCCCCTGCACATCTCAGACCAAGTCAGTGGCCCTGCCTTCAGTCACCCAGCTATGAATACACTTCAGTGATTCATAGCTAATTCTGATTGAGATTCTGGTTGAGTCACCTGGCCAGGTGTAAGGTCTGATCCCTCTCTCTCACTCAGTGGCCTCCATTGATCATTGGGTGCTTTTCTCCAAAGGGTACAAGTGAGAAGGACCGTCCATGTGAAACCTGTGGGAAAAACTTGGCTGACTGTCTAGGCCACTATGGGTACATCAACCTGGAGTTGCCGTGTTTTCACGTGGGGTACTTCAGAGCAGTCATAGGCATCTTACAGGTAAGCTCACTGGTGTTGGTTTCCAAGGCATTAATTCTGGAGGGATTAGTCAGAGACACTGGAATTGTGAGTAGTGAGGGATACATCTAGGGAAAATTTTTGTATCAAATACATAATATTTTCATCTCATACTACTGTTAAGTTACTCAAGGATTTTTTTTTACTTTCCTTGAGATGATGGTAGCTATACATTGTAAAAAAAAGTAACAATAGTAAGAATTCAAATAATACATAACAGCACAAAGAAAAAAATAAAAGGTACCAAAATTCTGCTATGGGTACTGCCAACATTCTGGTGAATACAGGCTGCCTGTCTATGCATATATATATGTAGATCTGTATGTGTGGTCAAGGGAGTGGCATTTTTATTTATTCTTTATTTTTTTGAGTCGGAGTCTCACTCTGTCGCCCAGATTGGAGTGCAGTGGCCGTTCCCGGCCACCGCAGCCTCAACCTGCTGGGCTCCAGTGATCTTTCTGCCTCAGCCTTCAGAGTAGCCGGAATTACAGGCATGCGCTACCACACCTGGCTAATTTTTTATTTATTGTATAGATGAGGTCTCACCAAGTTGCCCAGGTGGGTCTGGAACCCGTGGGTTCAGTCCACTCACCTCAGCCTCCCAAAGGCACGGGATTACAGGCTGAGCCACCGAGCCCAGTGGGAATGGCATTTTTAAAAGAAAATAATTTTTCATGCTCTTCTCCTTTTATGTGTTTTGCTTAAATTGGAAAAGATGATCTGCAAAACCTGCTGCCACGTTATGCTGTCCCAGGAAGAGAAGAAGCAGTTTCTGGATTTTCTAAAGAGACCCGGCCTGACCTACCTTCAGAAGCGAGGCCTGAAGAAGAAGATCTCTGATAAGTGCCGAAAGAAGAATATCTGCCATCACTGTGGCTCTTTTAATGGTGAGTGAAATGCACAGAAGGCTAAGTGACAGCCCCTTTCATGCGCACTCTACTGTTTATTAGTTGTATGTAATGTTCTGGAGTCGGCTTTCTTCCTTGAAAATTGGACTTAAGACCCTATCAGGCTGGGCTTGGTGGCTCAGCCTGTCATCCTAGCACTTTGGGAGGCCCAAGGGAGTAGATTGCCTGAGCCCACGGGTTCAAGACCAGCCCGGGCAACTTGGCGAGACCTCATCTCTACAATAAGTCAAAAATTAACCGGGCACAGTAGCATGCACCCGTAGTTCTGGCTGCTTGGAAGGCTGAGGCAGAAGGATCACCGGAGCCCAGCACTTCAACTCTGGGGTGGCTATGCGTGTGCCACTGCACTTCAGCCTGGGCGATGAAGTGAGACTCCGACTCAAAAAATAAAAAATTAGCCTATCAGCTGATGTCCCACTAGAAAATGCAGCTCTCTTCTTTCATTGCTATAGCAATTTCAGTAATTCCATTACCAGACTATAACCTCTGGCCAGGCTAAGAACTTAATTTATTTATTCTTGGCAAATAAATTAACATTTACAGGGACTGTAAAGAAGTGTGGATTACTGAAGATAATTCATGAGAAATACAAGACCAACAAAAAAGTGGTGGATCCCATCGTATCAAATTTCCTTCAGTCTTTTGAAACAGCCATTGAACATAACAAAGAAGTGGAGCCACTGCTGGGAAGGGCGCAGGTGAGCCTGAAAGGGTAGTTCCATCCTTTGCCTGCCTCTTCCACACATCTCTCTCTCTCTCTCTCTCTCTCTCTCTCTCTCTCTCTCTCTCACACACACACACACACACGCACACACCTGTGCGTGTAGGCACGCATCCTCACATGTCCTTCCTATCCCCCTCTCCGCCCAGGGACTCCTGACTACTTCTAAAATGAGAAGTTCGGTAAAGTGTGACAGCTCTCCTGTGACATTTATGTGACTGTCACGGGTATTTATCCGGCACTTAGGCTAATATGGGCTGGCCCTGTAACTCTACCTGTTTCTGTTTTTTTAACCTTAGTTCTTTGTTAACTAGTAACAACTTTTTATTTATTTATTTTTGAGTCAGAGTCTCACTCTGTTGCACGCCCAAGATGGAGTGCAGTGGCACACTCACAGCCACCACGGCCTGGACCTACTGGGCTCAGGTGATCCTTCTGCCTCAGCCTTCCAAGTAGCTGGAACTACAGGTGTGCACAACCATATCCAACTGATTTTTTTATTTATTGTAGAGGCGAGGTCTCCCATGTTGCTTAGGCTGGTCTCGAACCCCTTAGCTCAGGCAATCCTCTTGCCTCCACCTTCCAAAGTGCTGAAATTACCCAGCTAATTTTTTGATTTATTGTAGAGACAAAGTCTTGTTAAGTTGCCTAGGCTGGCCTCGAACCCCTGGACTCAGTTCTCTCACCTCTGCCTTCCAGAGTGCTAGGATTACAGGCATGAGCCACTGCACCCAACCCATAAAAGATTTTTTTTTTTTTTTAAGTTAAGAGTCTCACTCTATCCTCCGGGCTGGAGTGCAGTGGCACACTAACGGCCCGCACATCTTCAACCTGTTGAGCTCAGGTGATCCTTCTGCCTCAGCTCCCAAGTAGCTGGAACTACAGATGCACACCACCATGCCCAGCTAAATTTTTTTGATTTATTGTAGAGACGAGGTCTCACCTTGTTGCCCAGGGTGGTCTCAAACCCGTGGGCTCAGGCAACCCTCTCACCTCTACCTCCCAAAGTGCTGGGATTACAGGCATGAGCCACCGTGCCCGGCCCATATAAGATTTTAAAATCACGACTATCTAGGGCATAAACTGTTTCTCACATAGATGATGAGGTGCAAGAAAATTATTCGCAGTAATAACACAATTGTATTCAGTAAGAATGGATGGAAATTGGTCACCTACTGTGGAGATGGTGTCAGAGGGGAGGGATCAGAGGTGAGTTAGAGCCCATGTGTGGACATTTGGAGACAGGGTGGATGCCTGGAAATGGAGGCTCAGGCATCAGCAATTGATTCAAGTTGAAATTCTACAAGACAATTAGAATTAAGCGACTTCAGAAGAAGCTAAGGTGCAGGCTGAGAAGGTCGGTTTGTCCATCTACAGCTTTGGGAATGGAGCTCTCTGAGTGGCGGCAGCCTGGTTAGTAAGCATGAGGGGTAACATGCCCTTCTGGTTGTTTCCTTTCCTGTAGTCTCTCCTATACTCACTCTGCTGTGGTCCCAGACCAGCCTCCCTGCCATTCTACCACTACCATCCTGCCGGTCTGCCCAGGGACCTGTGGACACTCTCCTTGCAAGAACCTCTTCTCTGCCTCCACACATACTCTGCAGTAGCAGTGATTGATCTCCAGGGCCTGGGGGACATTTGAAAAGGTCTCATATGTGATGTGACCAGGAAGGAATCATCTTACAATGAAGAGTCACCTATCAAGTGCCTCCATCTTGGCTCTCAGAGCATTCTCTCAGTGCTTCCACCTCCCTGTCTACCCCACCCCACTTTATCAAAGTTGATGCCCTGGAGGTTTAGGGTAGTGGTTAAGAGCCTCCTTGACTTTGGGGCAACAGACCTGAGATGAAAACCAGCCCTGCTGCTTACCAGTTCTGTGATATGGGGCACATGATCCAACTTGAACTTTAGTTTCTTCATCTGTAAACAGGGCTTTTGAGAGCATCTCCTTTACAGCTGTCATGAGGATTGAGAGATGAGTTTCCAATGAGGTGCTTTGCACGGTGCCTGGCATATAGCATGTGCTTAGAGCATGGTACCCAGTTGCAGTAGTATTTTCTTTTTTTTTTTGAGTTGGAGTCTCACTCTGTCACCCAGACTGGAGTGCAGCCACTGCAGCCTCGACCTGCTGAGCTCCAGCGATCCCTCCGCCTCAGCCTTCCAAGTAGCTGGAACTACAGGCGCGCGCTACCACGCCCGGCTAATTTTTTGATTTATTGTAGAGATGAGGTCTCACCAAGTTGCCCAGGCGGGTCTCGAACCCGTGGGCTCAGGCAATCCACTCACCTCAGCCTCCCAAGGTGCGGGGTCACAGGCTGAGCCACCAAGTCCGGCTTGCAGTAGTATTGATCACAGCCACAACCATTCCTGTCACACTCATGGTCATAGTGAACATAGCAGAGGGATCATTCCAGCTTAGCAAAGCCTCCCTCCCTCTCCTCCACTCAAACTCCTACCATTCCTTAGCTTCTCTCATGCAGCCTCCTCTACTGTCTGGACCCCTTTCCCTAAGCCACAGGTACATAATGCTTGATCATATCACTTGTGCTTATTTTGTATATTTATTTGTTTCCTATATTAAGCTTGCTCTTTGACAAAGTCCATTTTTGTTTCATGGCTGTCATGGTTCCTGGAGAAGTGATGGGTCTTCCACGGTCATTACTTTTTCCTGGGGCTTTTTATACCACCTGGGGAACTGGAAGGGGAAAACGTATGAATTAACCATTTGCTAAATTCCAGGCAACCCTCCCCCAGAAAGGGCCTTTCTGTGCTTAAGGGATGCAGTGTCCTTGAGTGCATCCACCCTGTATGGAGAGGGCTTGCTGACAAGCGGGCACATCGCCCACTGCTCGTTAGTCTCAGGACCATCAGTGTCCTGACATGCCCCCTGCCCGTAATGTTTTCAGGAATGGGTAACCTCATGTCTTACAGGTAGCACAGCATGACTGAGTTGGAAGAGACCCTTGAGCAGTGGTTCTTGAGCTTTTCTAGGTCACATATTCCTTTGGAGATTGGACAGAAACTATGGACTCTATCCCTAGAAGGCTAATGTACTCTTACACCAAAATCCACATTAATGTAAATCCAGGAGTTGGTGGACCTGCAGACAAGAGTCTTTCCAGAGAAGTCATCAGTCCGGTTCCCCATACCAGGTGAAATTGCCTTCCACAGTGTCTCTGGCAGACTGAGTGACAGGCACTCTGGCTAGCACCTTGCTAGCCATGTTACCCCACCACTTGGTGAAGCAGCCCACACTCCGTTACCGGAGAGCTCTAGTTGTTAAGGTAGTAGTCCTTGTACAAAACTGAGCCCTTCCTGACTCTCTACATCAGTCCCTGCTTTCTGTTTCCAGGTGCATAGAAGAATAAGGTAGCAGCCTCATCTGCGTGCCTCTAGAGAGGCAGTTATGTCACACTTAGGCAACTTCTCTTGCTAAGAGATGGTTTCCAGACTCTTGCCAATGGTCATGCCTTCCTGGATGCCCTTCAGTTCACAGTGTTCCTAATGTCTAGTGTAGATTGAGTATCCCTAATCTAACATCCACAATGCTCCAAAATCTAAAACTTTTTGAGCGTCAACACAACACTCAAAGGAAATGCTAAGATTTCCAGATCAGGAATGCTCAACCAGTATGATGCAAGTGTTTTAAAATCCAAAACACGTCTGGTCCCAAGCATTTTGGATAAAGGATAGTCAACCTGTACTGATGTGGTGCTCCAGGTGACCTCTGGCCTTGCTCCATCCCTACAATTCTGTTAATACAGTTTTAGATTTCTTTCTTTCTTTTTTTTTTTTTTTTTTTGGAGTAGGGGTCTCAATCTGTCAACCAGGCTGGAGTGCAGTAGCAAACTCAAGGCCACCACAACCTTGACCTGCTGGGCTCAGGTGATCCTTCTGCCTCAGCCTTCCAAGCAGCTGGAACTACAGGTGTACACCACCACACTCAGCTAATTTTTTTGATTTATTGTGGAGACGAAGTTTTGCCAAGTTGCCCAGGCTGGGCTGAGGCAATCCTCTTGCCTCAGCCTCCCAAAGTGCTGGGATTACAGGCATGAGCCACAGCACCCAGCTAGTTTTAGATTTTTCACCTAACTGCCTTGGGTGATAATGAGCTGCCCATTGCTGGAAGACAGGGATGCTAAGGAAGGAAACTGTTCTGGGCAAGGACCTGTAGAAGACTCTCTGATGAGATTCCATCCTTCTCCCCAAGTACACTTTGCTGGCCTTCAGAATGGGACCATCTTCACTTTCTTTTACTGCACTTTCCTAAAGGCAGCAGTAGCTGTTTAAACATCTCTTGCTTGTTCCCATACTCGTTACATGTTCTGCTTGTAATATACTCTCAATCACACAATCTAAGATCCCCAGAAATGTAGTAAGTAGGCAAAAGGACACAACCGACCTCATCCATGTCTCTGATCTTCAGATCTCTCTGATAATTTTCATAGCTCTTATGTTACATATATGATATGAGTAAGCTGTTAACAGCATAGCACTTTTATTAAATGAAGTTAATAAAAAGATAATATTGGGATCATTAAACAAAACTTAAATATTAAAAAAAGTTAAAAGGTTATTCCACTCAATAAAGACAGCTCTGTCAACACCTCGGGCACTTCCATTTCCTTTTCTCTGCAAAGATGTACATTTTCCCCAGAAATGAGACTACACATGACACACTTATTTCATTTGCCAGTATTTTATGAACACTTCATGTCACTTGTACATTTCTCTGGTGTCATTTATTTATTTATTGAGTCAAGGTCTCACTCTGTCATTCACTGCAGCCCCGACCTCATGGGCTCAGGTCATCCTTCTGCCTCTGCCTCCCTAATAACTGGGACTACAGGCACGCACCATCATGCCTGGCTAGTTTTTTTAAATTCAATTTTTCACTATTAAGAAGAGCTTTTGTGAACATCTTTATAGCTGAATATTTGTTTATATCTGAAGTTATCTCCCTTAGAAGCAGAATTATGAGTTTAAGTAATTAGAATGAAAGGCATGCACATTTTAAAGCACTTGTAGGATAGCATCAATGGAAATTTCTGCCATCACTTATCCTAAGTTAAGTGGGAGTTAGATTAGAAAGCATGGAGGAGTAAAACCTTGCCCTTACTGTGGAAAACTCTTATGCTGTCTCTATTCCTTCCTTTCCATAGGAAAACTTGAACCCCTTAGTAGTGCTGAATTTGTTTAAACGAATCCCAGCTGAAGATGTTCCTCTGCTTCTGATGAACCCAGAAGCCGGCAAGCCCTCCGATTTGATTCTCACGCGACTTTTGGTGCCTCCTTTGTGTATCAGACCTTCCGTTGTGAGCGATTTGAAATCTGGCACCAATGAAGATGATCTGACGATGAAATTGACAGAAATCATTTTTCTAAATGATGTTATTAAAAAGGTCAGTGCTTCCCATTAGCTTATAAGTTTTGTAGTATATCTATCCAAAAACTTCTGGTCAAGAAAATGCCAGAAAAATCAAACTGACCAATTTTGGTTCTGTTCATGCTGTGTTCATTTTAGCACCGGATCTCAGGAGCCAAAACCCAGATGATCATGGAGGACTGGGATTTCCTGCAGCTACAGTGTGCCCTGTACATTAACAGTGAGCTCTCAGGCATTCCTCTTAACATGGCGCCCAAGAAATGGACCAGAGGTTTCGTCCAGCGCCTGAAGGGAAAACAGGGTAGGTTTCTGACAAAAAGTACAGAAGCCAGCCTGCTGCCCTTGATTTCTTTTTGTGGTGTGTATATCCAGCTTATCTAGCTAAAGGTCACAGACTTTTCTCCATCTCTCTGTTCTAATTACTCCCATCAGCACTCGGTGTGCTGTAGGGATCTATGGCATATTTTCATTTATTTAGGTCGATTTAGAGGCAACCTCTCAGGAAAGAGAGTGGATTTTTCTGGAAGAACAGTCATCTCACCTGACCCCAACCTTCGGATTGATGAGGTAGCTGTGCCAGTTCACGTGGCCAAGATTCTAACTTTTCCTGAAAAGGTAAGTACCCCTCAGCTGCTCAACTGTTTAAAACTGTTTGTTTTTAATCTAGTCTTTTACATTGTATTTTGACATTACAAATAGCAAACAATGGAAAGTCACCAGTAACCTACCCAACCCACAGTTTGGTTTATATGGGTGTATGTGACTTTCCAGTTTGTTTTATACACATATAACCATATATATCTAAAGCATATGCAACTACAAGAATTTGGCTTCATGTGTATGTACTCTTATATATGTTATACATACTATTCTGCAACTTTATTTCCCAATTATATATATTGTACACCTTTCTATATAGGTTCCTTTTTTTTTGAGTTGGAATCTTACTCCGTCGCCTAGTCGCCCAGGCAGGAGTGCAATGACTCACAGCCACCCCAGTGTCAACCTACTGGGCTCCGGTGATCCTTCCATCTCAGCCTTCCAAATAGCCAGAACTATAGGTGTACACTACCATGCCTGGCTAGTTTTTTTATTTACTGTAGAGATGAGGTCTTGCCAAGTTGCTAGACTGTTCTTGAACCTGTGGTCTCAGGCAGTCCCTTCATCTCAGCCTCCCAAAGTGCTGGGATTACAGGCTTAAATGTACCTGGCCTATAACTCATATTTTAAACTAACTAGCCAGGCTCCCACCGGTAATCCCAACACTTTGGGAGGCAGAGGCAAGAGGATTGTCTGAGCTCAGGGGTTTGAGACCAGCCTGGGCAACTTGGTGAGATCTTGTCTCTGCAATAAATCAGAAAAAATTAGCTGGGTGTGGTGGCGCACGACTGTGGTTCCAGCTACTTGGAAGGCTGAGACAGAAGGATCACCTAAGCTCAGCAGGCTGAGGCTGTGTGGCCATGAGCATGCCACTACACCCTAACCTGGGCACTTATTTTTGAGTGAGACTCCAACTCAAAAATAAATAAACAAACTAAGTGATAAGCACTACCCCTAGGTAATTTTCTTGGGGTGGGTTATCTACTTTAAAACCTAATCACTGAGTCAAAGCATTTGAATGTTAAGACTGTTGCTACATACGCAGAAAGGTTGTTCCAGTTTACACTCAGTGCACATGCATGATGAGTGTCAAATAGTATTTATAGTACTTTTGTCTTTTTAATCGACGTCTAGATGACTGCCGGGCTTGCAAACAAGAGAGTATTGGTTGGCTTTACCCTTGAAACTCACAATTAGCCCAGATCATGATGCTTCTGGTAAACCTTGTGTCAAGTGTCATCAGTTGAATTACTAATGATCCAGGAGCTTCTTTCTCTGAAGTGGTGTTCCACAAGACAATTGTCCAGAGGTTACAGAACATGGCCAGTTCACACCAGTGACTGTTGTGCTGGTATCACAACTTTTAAACCTTAGAAGTCCCTGGTAAATTACTGCAGATGAAGTTGCCACCTGTTTCTAGGATCATAAGATGTGCTGGAAGGTTCTTATAGATCAGTCTAGCCTACCCTTTTTACCCACCGGGGAACCAAAGACTCGGAAGGGACTTAGTGACATCACCCAGCAAGTAAATGCCTGAACTGACTAGAAGCCAGACTCTTGTTTGCCTGTCCATTGTTCTCTTTATGCTCAAGACCATAGGCAGCAGGCTGCCCAGGGGTGCCTCTCTTTCTCTTAACATCTACACAGGAAATTAAAGATTAAGACCCAGTTCAGTATAGTTTGCTAGCTGAGAATATGTTACTGTGTTTTTTATTGTGCTGCAGGTGAACAAAGCAAACATCAATTTTTTGAGGAAACTGGTTCGAAATGGCCCTGAAGCTCACCCAGGAGCGAATTTCATTCAGCAGAGACACACGCAGATGAAAAGGTCGTCCTTTCCCAGTCTAGTTGGATTTGCTACCTTCTCATGACAAAGTTCACTGCACCATACTCAGCCACAACATGCAGTCCAGAATACAATTTCTGTAACATTTTGGCACATAGAAAATATCTTTTTAAATTACAATGAGCCTAGGCATGTCATTTGCTCTGTTCCATCATTGATATACATGAAGTGCTCATTTGTGCCTGGACATGTAGTGTCACTGGATCCAGGTGGACAAAATATCATGGATACAAAAGCGGGTCATTAACTGTATCACCTGGGCTCTCAGGGTTTCCTTCCACGTACTCATAACCCAGTGGCACTCATTTCACCAACTCTGGCTTTCACAGCAAGGTGAACTGACTACCAATGCTTTTTTGTCTCATGAAAGGATTTTATTACAGGACCTGGTAGAAGAAACTGGTTTGTTACTGTATTTCTGTGATTCTTAGACACACACATCTAGACATGATTTCAACATTTATAAAATGAGGATATATCTTACAATCAATTTGTCATAGTTCAGTAGGCAGCTTTTTTTCTTGGTGACACATAAACTAATGACATAACTTTAAAATGGAGGCACATCTTAGATTTGATGAAATATGGGGCCGGGTTCGGTGGCTCAGCCTGTAATCCCGTACTTTGGGAGGCTGAGGTGAGTGGATTGCCTGAGCCCGTGGGTTTGAGACCCACCCAGACAACTTGACGAGACCTCATCTCTACAATAAATCAAAAAATTAGCCGGGCATTGTAGCACGCACCTGTGGTTCCAGCTACTTGGAAGGCTGAGGCAGAAAGATCGCCAGAGCCCAGCAGGTCAAGGCTGCGGTAGCCAGGAGCGTGCCACTGCACTCTAGTCTGGGCAACAGAGTGAGACTCCAACTCAGGAAAAAGAAAAAATATGGTCCTTCTAGAGGTTGAACCCTGAAGAGGGAGAAACTTAGTGTGAAAACTTTGTTCTCACAGATCATGTTTCTTGTTGCACGTTCAGGTTTTTGAAATACGGAAATCGGGAAAAGATGGCTCAGGAGCTCAAGTATGGCGACATAGTAGAGAGACACCTCATAGATGGAGACGTGGTGCTGTTCAATCGGCAGCCCTCACTGCACAAATTGAGCATCATGGCTCATCTGGTGAGTGTGAGAGTGTGGTTTGTATTTTCTGTGTGATAGAAATTTGCTGTGAGTGTTCAGTGCTGAAGTCTGGACTCCTAAAATTAAAATTGCCCATAATTTCAAGTTACAACTTTTGATCTCCCTCTTCTGTCACTTTTAGTTGTTTGGGGTTTTTGTTTTGTTTTGTTTTCTTTTTTTTTGAGTTGGAGTCTCTCCTCTGTTGTCCAGGCTAGAGTGCAGTGGCACACTCATGGCCACTGCAACCTCGACCTGCTGGGCTCAGGTTATCCTTCCACCTCAACCTTTCAAGTAGCTGAAACTACAGTCATGCACCACTGCACCCAGCTAATTTTTTGGTTTATTGTCTCGCCAAGTTGTCCAGGTTGGTCTCAAACGTATGGGTTCAGGTAATCCTCTCACCTTGGCCTCCCAAAGTGCTGGGATTATAGGCATGAGCCACCATGCCCAGCCTATACTTTTAGTTCTTATGAAACTTTCTCATTTCAAGCATCCATTCATTATTTTCAGTATTTATAATATAATATTTATATATGACACTAAAAGTATTTAATTGAAAATTAATGAGAAAGTGACTAGCATGATTTCACTTGCAAATAAAAATATATGCACACGTATGTGTTGTGTACTCAAACTTATGTAAAATGGGTATGGCAGAAAATTGAGTTTTGATTTAACTTTGCATATTAACTAAGAAGCTAAAATGCCTAAAAGATTTTTTTTGGTTTTTTTGCAGTAGTCCTCCAACTAAAACCTTAAACCATATTTTTCTGAAGATTTCGTTTTGCAACAGCAGCAGTGCCTGTTTCTGGAGATTTAATTAAAATGGAAATGAAATGCAACTCTAGTTCGTTTAATATTCCTAAGTTCTATCTGCAAAACTGTGAAATCAATGAACCTTTGCAAACTGTGTTAAGCAGACTTTTATGGTAGGATTTTTCTTTTTTTTTTTTAATTGGAGTCTCACTCTGTCACCTAGGCTGGAGTGCAGTGGCATACTCATGGCCACTGCAGCCTCAACCTGCTGGGCTCAGGTGATCATTCCACCTCAACCTTCCAAGTAGCTGGAACTACAAGCACACGCCACCATGCCCAGCTAATTTTTGTATTTATTGTGAGATGAGGTCTCACCAAGCTACCCAGGTTGGTCTCGAACAGTAGGCAATCCTCTCACCTTGACCTCCCAGTGTGCTGGCATTATAGGCGTGAGCCACCATGCCTGTCCCAGTATTTTTCTAGATGTATTTTTGAGTAGTTTATGAACACATTACATCAATCTCTCTTTTTTATGAGTTGGAATTTCATTTCATCACCCAGGCTAGAGTGCGGTGACACACTCACGGCCACCCCAGCGTCGACCTGCTGGGCTCTGGTGATCCTTCCACCTCAGCCTTCCAAGTAGCCAGAACTACAGGCTTTCACTACCATGACCGGCTAATTTTTTGATTTATTGTAGACGAGGTCTCACCATGTATCCCAGACTGATCTCGAACCCACGGGCTCAGGCAATCCTCTCACCTCAGCCTCCCAAAGTGCTGGGATTACAGGCTTGAGCCACCAGGCCCAACAATCTCTTTACCTAATGATAGAAATAACAAAGAAGGAGTTTGTGAATATGGAGTTATTATTATGAGGATTTAGAGTGTTAACTATAGCCTTCTCTTTCTGGAAATTTTATTTAGCTTTGGAGCTTGTTATCATAGAAAAGTTTGGTTTTGTAGGGGGGCAGGGGTTGCCAGGCAATGAGGTATACCTGTAGTCTCAGATACTGAGAAGGCTTAGGCAGGAGGTGCACGTGAGCCCAGGAGTTCAAGGCTGCAAGTGAGCTTTGATCACACCTGTGAGTAGCCACTGCACTCCAGCCCAGGCAACATGACCAGACTCTGTTAAAAAAAAAAAAAAAAAAAATGGAAATTTTGTTTAGTTTGAAATTTTTCAAATATACACTAAAATAAAAAGAATAGCATAATGAACTCACATACTTCCATCTTCTATATGTAATAATTTTCAAGATTTGATGACACTTGTTATATCTTTCCCTTTTTCTCTGGTGAACCCACATGCCATGTCCCTTTTCCATGTGTATTCTGTTTACATTTTTGTCAGTCTCCCCTCCATTTTTAAATTTTGGTCTCATTGGAAGAATCTTGATCATTTGTCCTGAAGAGTATTCCATGATCTCAGTTTGTCTCTGCATTAAGTGTTTGTCTCCTTATACCTATAAGCTGGAAATTAGCTCTGAAGGTATGACCAAATTCAGGTTTCAACTCTTTGGCAAGAATCACTCATAGGTGGTACTATGATACTGTTCTTCCTCTTGCCTTATATTAGGAGGCCCATGTTGTCTGCCCTGTTTTTGTTTTTGTTTTTTTTTTAATTGGATTCTCTGTCACCCAGGCACGATCACGGCTCACTGCAACCCCAACATGCTGGGCTCAGACAATCCTTCTGCCTCAGCCTTTTGAATAGCTGAGACTATAGGCACACACCACCATGCCTGGCTAATTTTTTTATTTTTTTAGTAGAGACGAGTTCTCACGATGTTGCCCAGACTAGTCTCAAACTCCTGGGTTCAAGCAGTCCTCTAGCCTTGGCATCCCAAAGTGCTGGGATTACAGGTGTGAGCCACCATGTCTGGCCTGCTCTGCTTTAAGTTATGCTAAAAAGGTTAGGGATTCAAATGCTTCAGTCTGATGCCTCCCTGGTAGGGTTTCTCATCAACCTCCTTTCTCATGATGTTATTCATTATGATCATTGCTTACACTATTTTGTTAAGGCTGCAAAATGAAGTCCAATTTCTAATTTATCATTCCTTTCACAGTTATTACCTTAAATTCTTGTAATGATAAGTTTCTCCTTGTTAATTGAGCTGTTTGCTTGCCCAGAAGTACAGATAATAAAGGAAGGCAGCATAAATGGCTCAGTCTTTTTCCTCTGTTGTCATTTTGGGGAATAAGAAAGTAGTGCTAGGGCCATGCACAGTGGCTGAGCACCTGTAATTCCCAACACTTTGGGAGCTGGAGGTGAGAGGATTGCCTGAGTCCAGGAGTTTAAGACCAGCCTGGGCAACATGGCAAGACCTCAGTCTACAATAAATCAAAAAGTTAGTCAGGTGTGGTGATGTGCACCTGTGGTTTCAGCTACTTAGGAGGCTGAGCTCAGCAGGTTGAGGCTGTTATAGCCATGATCGTGCCACTGAACTCCAGCCTGGATAATACAGTAAGACTCTAGCTCCAAAAAAAAAGTTAGTGCCCAATTACTTCCAATAGGCTGGTTGGGGTTTTTTGTTTATTTTGACTTTCCCTTTTTTCAGCGTCATTATGAACTCATTAGTTTTTGTTTAGTCAGTGTGTTTTAATCAACTTTGGTTGTTAATCTTTTTGATACTCAAAACCATAATATTGTTGGCCAGTAGGAGCAGCCCTTCACCTTGGTGTCTATGTTGAGAATCACTGCTTTGGTTTGATCTAATAAAGCTTCTCAAGTGGGTCCACAAATGATATTTCACATGACAGAACATACTTGAAATGTACTTTGTTAATCTAAAGTGTCTAGTTTTCCAGGAAGCCCTTTCTTAATGTTTTGAATTAGAGAAGCTTTTGGATAAGTGCCTAAGTCCCCTTCCTGTTTTATTTGTTTTATGTTCCTCAGGCCAGGGTCATGCCCCACCGGACTTTCAGATTTAATGAATGTGTCTGTACACCCTACAATGCAGACTTTGATGGTGATGAAATGAACCTTCACCTTCCTCAAACAGAAGAAGCTAAAGCAGAGGCCCTTGTTCTGATGGGGGTACGTAGGGCAGTGTGGCCCAGCTTCCGTTTGACAGCTCCTTGAAATGAGGGAAAAGGACACATGTCCTATTTGAAAACACTACAGCTAACAATGCCAGAGAAGCCAGGCTCTTTCTATTTCTAAATGGACCACTAACTGCCTGTATTTTTTTGACTCTTGTTTCACTAGTTTATCTTAAGTCTTTGAAGAATCTCCCTTGAAAATTATTATCTATATGTGAATTAGGGTCTGTAACAGGTGCTTTGAGTGGATTTTCTGGCCTGTAAGTGTGGATTCCTGGGAAAATAAATACATGAAGACCAGTATGGAAAGATAAGACAAGAGAATAGCAGTATCAATTTTGGGTATCACAGGGGAAAGTAGATGTCCTACATAAGTGGATGTATACCCAAGATACTCAGCAGATTTTTCTAGAATAAACAAATCTCAGCCTCGTGCACTCAACTCCAACTAACAGACCACCTGCTATCTCACCTCAGAAAGATTCTCTAAACCAGAAGTGAGAAGAGCGCCAGGCCCGCCAGGTTAAATAGCTGTTTCCCACCCCAGTTGAAGGGTCACTGCTCTGGGTGGTGGTTCAGATGTGAGTGGTTATGGGTCTTTGTCTCAGAGGATCCTGCACTCTGAGTAGTGGCCCAGAAAACCCACAAGCACACATAGGCACCTCCACATCAGGATTAGAGCAAATGCTCACCGATATGCACAGAACCCACTTTACATGAGTTAATTATGTGTTACCAACTAGCACCCTTTATTGCCCAAGGTAGGCATTCATCAAATGTTTAATTAAATTCTTTTGTTGGATTGATTGCTGTTGAAATTTTATGTCTTAACCAAGGAAAATTTAACAGTTCTGACACAAATGTGGAGAAGTGTGGAACAGGTTGACTTTAGAGGTAACAGTGTTCCTCATCGTTGACAGAAGTGAATTTTCTTTGGAGAGGAGTACTAATTAATACACTTACACGTGTAGTGTTCATTACATAATTCCAGAACAATTTCACTCAGTATTTCATTTTGGTGTTAGTAGGAGCCTCCAAAGTCAATGTTGCTAGTATTTTTTCTATCCCCTTGACAGATGAAGGGAGTTAGTGACAAAGCTGGGATTAAGACCCCTAGCCTCCATTCCCAGCCTCATCTTTCTGCTACTCTGTTCATCACTATTTGAAAACCTTGTGATTCAGAACTTTGGGCTGTGTTGTGCATCCAAGAATGGCTAATTTCTTGTGCTTACTTTTCCTTCAGACTAAAGCAAATCTTGTAACCCCAAGGAATGGGGAGCCACTGATTTCTGCTATTCAGGATTTTCTAACAGGTGGGTTTGTGGATTCACTTTAAAGGAGACTTCTGACTACGAAACACAATGATTCTTGTTCACAGTGATTCATGTGATGACTTGAAAAGCTATATAATTGCCTGTGTTTAATTCTGTTGTTTGTTTATTAAGTTTGATCATGAGCCTACTTGAGGTTTTTTTTGTGTGTTTTTTTTTTATTGGTTGGTTATTCATTGATTCAGCAGGTATTCATTGAGCTCCTCCCATGATCTGGGCATTTTCTAGACTTCATGTCTGGCCTAGAATCCATCCTCTGTACCTGGAGATACAGTAGTAAATAAAGCAAAGTCCCTTTACTGTGGAGCTTCTATCCTAATTGGAAGAGCGAGCCAATAAGCAGCTGTACATTTGAATTTTCCCTGTTGATAATAGTTCAGATTTATTTTAAAATGGAACCCTTGTGGTTTTCTCTATTTCTTTACTTTTCTTTGTTTTGTATTGGTTCTTGACACTTTCAGGTGCCTATCTCCTAACTCTCAAGGACACATTCTTTGACCGGGCCAAGGCTTGCCAAATCATTGCTTCAATACTGGTTGGCAAGGATGAGAAAATTAAAGTTCGCCTCCCACCCCCTACGATATTAAAGGTATGTGCAGGAGCCGTGTGTGTTATGTCCGTGTGGATAGACTGGTGGTGTGTGTGTAACCCTGCTGCTGCTGGGCTTGAGTGCCATCATTGAACCTTCTGACCTCGCTTACGTGAAGGGTGATTAAGACCAAATCAAGCCCGCTGATTCTCAGGCTTCCTCTCCTCCTTCAGCCTGTCACCCTGTGGACAGGAAAGCAGATCTTCAGTGTCATCCTCCGTCCTAGCCATGACAGTCCAGTGAGGGCCAACCTCCGAACAAAGGGCAAGCAGTACTGTGGCAAAGGAGAAGATCTCTGTGTCAACGATTCCTGTGAGTTGAAGGAGGTGGGATGAGGGGAGGAGCGATGTAGTGGAAAACCAAGTGGCCAGGAATTACCTTCACTGGTGCCTTCACGTAGTGAGCATATCCGATGTTTCTCTAACACTTTGGGCAGGAAATTTATCTTTCAGGTAAATGTACCTTGTGTTTCTTCTAACAGGTTTAATTTCCCATTTTTTCTGAAAAGTAGAGATCATGTAGACACATGATCCAATAGCTAGAATGTTCTCTTAATGTGTTTTGTCTTAAGAGACTCTTTTTTGTCAGTTAATGCAGTTTGTCTTTTATTGTCTCCTTTTTGCCATCAACTAGGGTCTCATTATTTAATTCACATACATTATTATTTTGTGTCCAAAAATGTGTTCATTGTCTAAAAGTGTGAATAAAAAGTACAACTAAAAACTGTTTTTCTGCCTGTTTCACCTGGTCAGGGTTTTTGATAACATGATCAGGTGTACAGGGAGAGAATATAAATGCAAGTCATCTGGGTCTCTCTAAAACAGTGCAACCCAAAGTCCGCAAATCAGTGTTTCTATGTATTTATTTATTTATTTTTGTGTGTGTGTGTTAGAGTCTCACTCTGTCGCCCAAGCTGGAATGCACACTCACGGCCACCCCAGCATCGACCTGCTGAGCTCCAGCGATCCTTCCACCTCAGCCTTCCAAGTAGCTAGAACTACAGGCACATGCTACCACACCCGGCTAATTTTTTTTTTTTAATTTATTGTAGAGACGAGGTCTCGCCAAGTTGCCCAGGCTGTTCTCAAACCCGCGGGCTCAGGCAATCCACTTACCTTGGCCTCCCAAAGTGCTGGGATTACAGGCTAAGCCGCCGAGCCCAGCCTAAATCAGTGCTTTTTAGCAGCATCCATTGAGTTACTTTCTGATGTGACTCTTTAGCTCACCCCAAATTACTAACAAGCAGTTTTCCAACAGACTACTTTGATTAGCACTGGTTTAAAATGGACTTGGCTAGCAAGGCCTCGTGACTAAAATGAATCTCCAGGACTCTCTACTGGAGAACTGAATTATAGAGTTTCTCTGAAGGTCAGGATTTCTACTATTGTCTTTTTATTATGGTTATTATTATTTTATTTTTTTTTTTTGAGTTAGAGTATCACTCTATTGCCTAGGCTGGAGTGCAGTGGCACACTTACAGCCACCACAGCCTCGACCAACTGGGCTCAGGGATCCTTCCACCTCAACCTTTCAAGTAGCTGGCATTACAGGTGTGTGCCACATGCCTGGCTACTTTTCGATTCACTGTAGAGATGAGGTTTCACCAAGTTGCCCAGGCTAGTCTTGAACCCCTGGACTCAGACAGTCCTCTTGCCTCTGCCTCCTGAAGTGCTGGGATTATAGGCATGAGCTGCCTCTGGTCTTTAAGATAATTTGGCTTCTTGTTTTAAACTGTGTTTTGTTTCTTTAGGTAGAAGTTTTATTTTGTTGTTGTATAGGCTATTCATGATGATGCCACCATTAGTTTTCAATATCATATGTGAATAACAAGTTGCTGTGCAGTTTACAAAGCTGTACATGATTTCATGTGATGCTCAGAATATCTCATGACATAAAGATGTTCACGGAGGAAGAAAATGAGGGTCATCTGGTACACCTCAGGGTTAGGACTGCAAGGTAAATAATGGGGGCATTCATATTTTTCAGAAGTCCCTTGGTTTCCCTTTTTTTCTCTTAAAAAAAAATTTAAAGAGAATTTCTGTTTGTTCTGCTTTAACTTTCAGTATGGGGACATATTTTCTCAACTGCCGCAAATTCTTTTCTTTTCCTTTTTTTTTTTTTTTGAGTCAGAATCTCACTCAGTCAGCTAGGCTAGAGTTCAGTGGCTTGATCACAGATCACCACAACCTTGACCTCCTGGATTCAGGCAATCCTTCCGCCTCTGTCTCCCGTGTAGCTGGGACTGCAGATACACGCCACCAATACCCCAGCTTATTTTTTTAATTTCTGTAGAGACAAGGTCTCCCTGTGTTGCCTAGGCTAGTTGTGAACGCCTGGGCTCAAGCAATCCTTATGCCTCTGCCTCTCAAAGTGCTAGGATTACAGATGTAAGCTACCACACCCAGCCTGGAATTCATTTTGGAATGAGGTGAAGTAATAAATAATTGTTTGTTTCGATGCATAAGGATTATTATTCTTCCAGATGTTACGATCCAGAACAGCGAATTGATGAGTGGCAGCATGGACAAAGGAACCCTGGGATCAGGATCCAAGAACAATATTTTCTACATTTTACTGCGAGACTGGGGACAGAATGAAGCCGCTGATGCCATGTCAAGGCTTGCCAGGCTAGCTCCTGTCTACCTGTGTGAGTACCTAGACATCTATTTCATTTTATTGTTAGAGTTTTAGGGGTTTCTTTTATTTTGCTATTTTACTGTTATTTCATTCCCCACCCCCACCCATGCCATACATATACAAACAGAAAATGATTCTTGTTCCAGGCTAAATCTTATGTGCTTTTATTAATGAAATGAACCCAGTCCTGACTAGCTTGACTACAGATTTGAATTTGATTTTCAGTAGCTCCCCATTTTCTGCTGTATAAGATTATATTATAAAAGGCCCTTGCCGAGCTTGGTGGCTCAGCCTATAATCCCACGCCTTTGGGAGGCTGAGGTGAGTGGATTGCCTGAGCCCGCGGGTTCGAGACCCGCCTGGGCAGCGAGACCTCATCTCTACAATAAATCAAAAAATCAGCCAGGCATGGTAGCGCATGCCTGTAATTCCAGCTACTTGGAAGGCTGAGGCTGAAGGATCTCCAGAGCCCAGCAGGTCGAGTCTGCGGTGGCCAGGAGCGGCCACTGCACTCCAGTCTGGGCGACAGAGTGAGGCTCCAACTCAAAAAAAAAAAAAGGCCCTTAATGGGCTGTTTCCAAGTCACCTGTAGAAGTACTTCAATCTGTTCAGCCTTCCATAACTCAGTTCTACCAGATTACTCCGTATTTCCCTACTATGCTTTTACTGTTGTTTCCTTTGTTCCTGCTTTGAGAGTGCCATTTGTTGAGTGTTGTTTGCATGCCTGAAAAAAATCTTTATTCCATTCTTACACTTGTCAGGGTATAAAATTCTAGATTGAAAAGTATTTTCCCTCAGAATTTTGAAGATATTGCTATATTCTCTTTTAACTTTCACAGTTGTTTTAAAGTGTTTTGCCATTCTTATTCCCCCTTTTTTTTTTGAGTTGGAATCTCACTCTGTCATAGTTTTATTATATTTGCTCCCTGAATTTCTGTTTCCTTTTAGTTTCTTTTTCCTATATACTTGTTATCTTCTATCTTTCCTGTTAAAAACTTTAATAGCTGGTGGTCCCTAGCTGTCCTTGCGTGTCTTAAGAGTAAGGATTAAGACACTGGAAATGGAGCTAATTGGTTGATGGCCCTCTCAGTTCCTTAATTGATTGGGGAACCAGCTTTTTTTTGTTTGTTTTTTTTTGAGGGACTGCCAGATATTCCTATCAGTATCACTTTTCCCTAGGGAGGCTTGATTTCTTCAGATACGTCTTTTGAGTTTGTCTTCTACCTGAGGAGTAGAGACCTGCCTGCTGGGATTCTGGGAGCTGAGCAGGGAATCAGGCTAAGTGTTCTCAACTATGGAATATACAGACTTCCCCTCAGTGCCCTTGTTCACAGTCAGTCCATCTGCCTGTGCTTGGTATCCCCAAAACCAGAGCCTTTCTGATTCCATTTCTTAGGGAGTAAACTCCCATCTCTCACAGGAACAAGGGCCTGGAGCCTGTTTCTTATAGACTTCCTACTAGTGCTTCTCGTTTCTATCTAGCACATTCCTCATCTCCAGCATCTGCAAAACTTGTGGTCTTGTTTCTGACCCCTTCCAGGCTCATTAGTCCTCTTGTCTGTGGACACTTTTAGGCATCCCCTTGCCTTCCCTGCTAAGCCAGTGGCCATTCACCCACCCACCTTATCCCTACATACAGTATATTTCAGATAAGACTACTGGTTGTGCCTAATTCCATCACAGGTGCGGTTACATTTTCTTCTTAATCCCCATATTCTGGAATGCTTTCCAAGAAGACAAGGGGGTTACACGGGTCTCTATTTTGCTATCTTAGAGCCAGAAGTCAGGTGGCTCACTTTCCATAGCTTGCTTCTCAGGCCACTCTTGAGTATTTTATGTCGGTCTGCTTTGTATGATAGTTGGAAACATTATTATGTTTCCCACTAAGTTGTAAGTTCTCTGAGAGGAGTGAGTGAATCTTAGTCCTTTGTGTAACTACCTAGGGACTGAGACAGGAGCTATTGAATTGTATTGAATTGTAATGAACTCTGAAGATACAAACTTTTTTTACACTTTATACGTAGGCAGTTTCTATAAAGCACAGAGTATATCTAGTTGGGTATAAACTGTACATAGTAGGTTTACTGAGTCTCCTTTATGACTCTGTCTTCCTGCTCCATCTGCTAACTCTTCTACAGCTAACCGTGGATTCTCAATTGGGATCGGTGACGTCACACCTGGCCAAGGACTGCTAAAGGCCAAGTATGAGTTGCTGAATGCCGGTTACAAGAAATGTGATGAGTACATCGAAGCCCTGAACACAGGCAAGCTTCAGCAGCAGCCTGGCTGCACCGCTGAGGAGACTCTGGAGGTGAGCCTGGTCCTTTGGTTCAGGGTTGCCACTCACATACACAGTGGCTGAAACGGTGTCCATGGGGTTGTACTATAAACCATGATGAGAAGGTAGCAAAGGAGAGTGGGCAAGTCAAGGCAGCAGCTTCCATCCCTCCTGGTCCCTGGGGTGGCTGTGTGTGCTCTCATTTGTTTCCTGGGGGCAGAACCTTTGATCAGATTCCTTGCGTCCCTTCTAGCTTTCATGATCCAGGCAATAAAAGCATGGTCATCTGTTCCTTCTGCCACATGGGGCTGCTCTTGTTCCAGTGGCACACTCAGGCCCCTCCTGAAGCAGGTACTCGAGTGCTTTTGCCCTTTCTTTTGTTTTTTTTTTTTCCCCTAAGTTGGAGTCTCACTCTGTCACCTAAGCTGGAATGCAGTGGCGTGCTCATAGCCACTGCAGCCTCGACCTGCTGGGCTCAGGCGATCTTTCTGTCTCGGCCTTCCAAGTAGCTGGAACTATAGGTATGCGCCACCATGCACGTCTAATTTTTTGATTTATTGTACAGATGAAGTCTCACCAAGTTGCCCAGGCTGGTCTTGAGCCCGTGGACTCAGGCAATCCTCTCACTTTGGCCTCCCACCACACCCAGCCTAGCACCTTTTTTCAATGGAGCCACAACTCCTAACTTACTCAGCATCCTGCATTGGAAGTGAGGAGAGGGACCTTCTGTGGATGAGCTCATGAGCCAGAATATATCCCTGTAGTGTTACCTCGTCACATGCTTGGTGTGTGAGAATTCATATGTGTTCTTGGCAAGAAAAAGTGGACAGATAAACTGTACAGACAGTGCAAGCAGTTCTCTTTTACATACCATATATTATCTTACACGTTTATACAGGGGTGTGTACACAGATACAGGTATGTGTGTATATGTATACATGCATACACATATATATGTACATGTGTACATACAAATATTTTGTTGTGTAGAGTATATACATTCTACCTTACAGGCCATCTGAAAGATTTTTCTAGTTTTTGTTACTCTTAGTTTTTGCCTTACATGCTCATTTTAGAATCTTATGGAAGATGCATGTGTCTATATGGCTAGGACATTTTTGCTCCTCTAAGGCTCTCTGAAACCTTTATTGATTAGAGATCTGACATCTTGCTTCAGTGTTCTCAAATTTCTTCAGATGTCAGATTGAACATTTGCAGTCCATAGAGCCAGTGAGGACAGCCCAGCACAGGTCTTCTTTTCTTCCACCAGGCCCTGATCCTGAAGGAGCTGTCTGTAATCCGTGATCACGCCGGCAGTGCCTGCCTCCGGGAGCTGGACAAGAGCAACAGCCCCCTCACCATGGCTCTGTGTGGCTCAAAAGGTACGTTGCCCTCTCTGCTTCCTGCTGTCAGTGTGTTCTCCATATGGGCCAGTTTGGTTCCAGAAAATGTAATAATCTTAACTTCAAACAGGCATTTCATTTCTTTAAGAGCATATATTTTTAAATCAGAGAGAGAGGGGAACTTGATTATTTTGCATTTTAGGAAGCTTAACACCTTTGAAGGAACTTGGTGATAATGTGTGTGAATTTCTGAGTTTGAGGGTGCTTTAAGCAAACTTGGTCTTTTAAAAACAAAAGAAAAACTAGGAATTTTGGGGGGTATATTTAATGATGTGGCAAAACTCTTTAATTGTATAGATACCTGGGCCCTTAATGCATTAAGTTTCTTGTTACCACATTTAAACTCAAAACCTCCATGCTTCTCCTATTTCTGTAAGTTTTTTTTTTACAGAATAAGGTCCAGTCTCTTTAACTTTGCTGCCTTTTACCCTATTTTTCTCCTACTTCTTGTTTCTGGGAACACTTTTCCATTCCTCTCCTTGCTTCCCACTCTTCTGTTGACTTTGGAATTCCTCCTCCCACCCTTTTTTGTGTCCAAATCATAATATCCTCTAAAAGTGCAGCCTGGTTGCGGAAGCCTCCTTGAAGACTCACCTGGCCTTTCCCAGTTCTTCTCCATCCCAGACATGCTCCTAAGCTCCTCTCCCCTCATGCTGCCTTTCTCATGTTCCTTGTGGCTCCATCTCATCTCAATTGTGGTTCTGTCTTTTACTATCTCTAGACGCTGAACTTGTTGAGGGTAAGTGCCTGTGCTCTGTCGTATTCCGGTTTTACCCCTCTGATCTGTTTGCACTTCACTGAATGTTAGTTTGGTGAATGAATGTTATATTGTTGACCCGTATCCCCAGGTTCTTTCATTAACATATCACAGATGATTGCCTGTGTGGGACAGCAGGCCATCAGCGGCTCCCGAGTGCCAGATGGCTTTGAAAACAGGTCCTTGCCTCACTTTGAAAAGCACTCAAAGGTAAGCGGTAGTGGATTAGGTAGAACTTTGAAGTCCCCTTCATCTAGATTGTCCCCTAAGGAACAGAGACCTACCCAGATCAAAGGCTGTGGGCCATTTCATGTGGAGTTTAATATATGTATTTTTTTTTTGCTATTTTATTAAGATACACGTCATATAAATTTGCCCGTTTAAAATATACAGTCTAGTGCTGTTAGTATGTTCATAGAGTTGTGCAGCCATCACCACAATCTACTTTTAGGACATTTTGAGTGCCCCAGAAATGAAACCTGTAAGTGTTAGCAATGCATGGGTATGTTTTGGGGGTAGGCAGGTCTGGCCCTTGGGAAGGTTATCTTGAAGGGAGTCATTTCCAGGGAATAGGTAACCTGCCTCCATTAGCAGGGTCCCTCTGAGGTCCTTGACCGCTTGCCTGCTTTAGGGCTTTAGGGAGAGCAGCCCAAGCTTAGGTTGCCCTCTCCTGAGCCTCTTGCATGCCATCAGCACCAGCTCCAGCCCTGACTGGGCCCTCACCCTCCTTGTCTCTAGTAAGGATGGTTTGTCCAAATTATTTCTCCTTAAGGACAGGCCTATAAAGCCTGCCATTTCATGAGAATGTACTGGCCAGGTATTTATAGTCTAAAGGTGGGGCATTTTGCAATTTGAATGAATTCCAGGATTGCGGGCCTTGAACTTTTTGTGTGTGATTTCTCTTTTTTTCTACCTCTTTTTAGCTGCCAGCTGCCAAAGGCTTTGTGGCTAATAGCTTTTATTCCGGTTTGACACCAACTGAGTTTTTCTTCCACACAATGGCAGGCCGGGAAGGTCTAGTCGACACAGCTGTGAAGACAGCTGAAACAGGATACATGCAGGTAACTTGAAGATATGTAGGCCATCAGCAACAGAGCAGGACAGGGCTCTGTGGGTTTTGACTGTGGAGTGTTAGCACATTTTGCATGTGCCATAATTTATCTGGTCTTGGTATTTTAAAGGAAAAATTCAGAAAGTTAGATGCCCTGAAAATAACCAACCATAAAAAGATATTATGTTTCAAATCATCCTTGTACCTTGAATGATTGAGACCAGGCCAAAGCCACAGATACCAAAGCTCTGCTAGAGGAGAACATGGCTGGAAGTACATTCTGGGACCTGTCATTTAACCTCACTAAGCCACTGTCTCCTAACACGTGAAAATGAGGGTGTTAATATATCCTTCCTGGTTATTGACAAGACTCTGCCTCTCACTGTGCAGCCACTTATGTAACTCATTGCTAGTATCATTCTAATTAATTCCAATGACCTACTCCAGTGCCTTCTGGAGAGTTGGGCGCTCAGAGGGAAAACCAGTTCCCAGTGAGTGTATAGGTCTAGGATAATAGGCTCTGGGATACAGAACTAAGCTAGAGGGTTCTCTGCTTGTGCTTCTCAAACTTTGGAGCAAAAGTACCTCTAATGGCAGAGGAGTAAAAAATACGTCCCTCCCATGTTCTTCCATAACACTACAAGCAAAGGATGTCTTCTCAGTCTCCAATTATTGTTTCTACTTTCTACTCCATAATTTAACTGTTTTGCTTTTAAATTTTTATGTTTTTAACTATGTACAACACCAGATAAAGTCAACACTGCAAGTTACTGGGCCATGAACTTGCTGTGGCTTTGTGTCCTCTCTCTCCACTGTGGAAGTATGGTCCTTTGCAAGCTGGGAAACCAAGATGGGTAAACCAGAGACGTGAATGAGTGGGCCAGAACAAACAAGAGTGATGAGGGTAACAAGGGGTCGAGTCAGTAGACACCTATTTCCATAACCTGTTCTGTACCTTGTATATCATCTGACACTTTTAATCGTCTTCTTTTTAGTCATCCATGGAATACAATTAATCATCTTTTGATGGGAAATTGCCCTTCAGTTTTGGAGTGACTGCTTTTGTCAGAAACCCAGCAGACTGTGAAATGCTGGTACCACTCTTGCCACAATGTGTGTTTTGACTTTATTTTCTGTTCTTTACCTTTTGAAGTAGAGAGTATGACTTTCCCAGAGCACTGTGTTAACCTAGAACAAATTAGTTCTGGCATAAGGGATTTTTGTTTTGAAGTTGCCTGGAGGAAGATTTTCTTTTTAATTCACTGCGCCACCATCACAGTGCCAGCTGGAGTGTTCTGCTGGTGAACAGTTCTCCCTAAGTAGATTTGAGAAGTGGTTGCTGCCTGCTGGTTCAGACACAATGCTGTCCCTGTTCTCTCTTCTTCCCCCTCTGTCCCAGGAGAGAGACTGCACCTGATCCTCTGTAATTCATATTGAAGTCTGTAGGGGTCCTGGCTTAAGTTCTGTTTAGAAATGCAAAGCTATTACATTAATTTATACCTTAGGGAGAAAGAAAGGAAAGGCAAAACAGCCTAGAAAAACGGTGTTTGCACAGTCCTTTGGGGGTGATGGGGTTTAAATTGCAGGTATTCTAAAATATGCTAAAGTGCTGGAGGTTAGAGCATATCTAAATCCCACTACACAGTCTAGTGAGGCACTCCTGGCCTCGTTCTTGGCCAAGGGGACTCTTTTTAAGGGATTTCTCATAAAGTATTTTTATGTGATTAAAGTGTAACCTTGAAAACTCTGAGTTGCAAATCTTACCCTCTGCACATGTGCCTGGTCTGCTTAAAGCAGCTGAGCTTTCTCCTCCTTTTCCTTTAGAGAAGGCTTGTCAAATCCCTTGAAGATCTTTGCTCCCAGTATGATTTGACAGTTCGAAGCTCTACCGGTGATATTATCCAGTTCATTTACGGGGGAGATGGCTTAGATCCTGCAGCTATGGAGGGAAAAGATGAACCTTTGGAGTTCAAAAGGGTTCTGGACAACATCAAAGTAAGATTTAGCATTCTATTTGGGGTTAGAATGTTCTTGAGGATGTTTCTTTAGACTCGAAGTACCTTTGACAACCCACTTTCCGGTCCCCTCTCGCTGCTGAGAGCTTTCCTGTTGCTTAATAAACTCTGACTTAACTCGCAAAAAAAAAAGATATCATCAGTCATATCTACCCAAGCATTGGATTGGTATCTTTTCTCTTTATGTTACTCTATAATTTTCTAATATCATGTGTGTGTGTTGAAGTCTCACTCTCTTGCCCGGGCTGCAATGCAGTGACACGATCATAGTTCACCACAGCCTCTACCTCTTGGGCTCAGGCATTCCTCCCACCTCAGCCTCCTGAACCTGCCTACTGGTTCAGACACAATGCTGTCCCTGTTCTCTCTTCTTCCCCCTCTGTCCTAGGAGAGGGACTGCACCTGATCCTCTGTAATTCATATTGAAGTCTGCAGGGGTCCTGGTTTAAGTTCTGTTTAGAAATGCAAAGCTATTACATTAATTTATACCTTAGGGAGAAAGAAAGGAAAGGCAAAACAGCCTAGAAAAACGGTGTTTGCATAGTCCTTTGGGGGTGATGGGGTTTAAATTGTAACTGGGACTACAGGTGTGCACCACCACACTTAGCTAACTTTTTTTATTTTGTAGAAATGAGGTCTTGCTGTATTGCACAGTCTGGTCTCAAACTGGGCTCAAGCTATCCTTCTGCCTTGGCCTCCCAAAGTGCTGGGATTACAGGCATGAATCACCATGTCTGGCCCATGTTTTCTAGTATTGAAAGGAACAAACGATTTTTTTCGATTGAAAGTCTAGTATTGGTAGTGATCAAATGCCAATAGAAGAGAACTTTGGTTTCTCTCTGTCTTCAGTAGAGTGTACTAAAGACCAGTTTTACAAGTCATGAGTATTGAAAAGCAGGCATATTTCACATACTTTAACTGGGAATGTAATTCGGAACAACCTTTTTGGAGGGTAGTTGAACAATATTGATCTGATTTTAAATACCTGTCCCTTTTCATAACAATTTATATTTATACACACACACACACACACACACACACACACATATATATATATATATATGATAAAATAAATTATTATTTTTTTTAGTTAGAATCTACCTCTGTTGCCCAGGCTAGAGTACAGTGGCACACTTACAGCCACCACAGCCTCAACCTGCTGGGCTCAGGCAATCCTTCCATTTCAGCCTTTCAAGTAGCTGGAACTACAGGCGCTCACCACCATCCCTAGCTAATTTTTTGATTTATTGTAGAGACGAGGTCTTGCCATGTTGCCCAGGCTGATTTCAAACCCGTGGGCTCAGACATTCTTCTCACCTCTGCCTCCCAAAGTGCTGGGATTACAGGCATGAGCCACGGTACCTGGCATTTATATATTAATGCAAATCTGGGGTGGGGGTTGAAGGCTGGGAAGCAATGGGACAACACCCATTAAAAAGCCCAGGAGTCTTCGTGTAGGATGGAGTATCCATTTATCCTGTTTTCACCAAAATATGAAAAGTAGAGTCCACAAATTGTTTGGAAGGAAGAATCACAGGTTGCTAACAGTTTGCTCTGGGTGAGGTCATTTGCTGTCTTATGAGTTCTCTTATCTAATACTCCCCCCTGCCCTACCCATGCACATAACGTGATTTCCTCTTCCTACTCGAGGCAGTCTTCCCATGTCCGAGCGAGCCTGCACTCAGTAAAAACGAGCTCATCCTGACCACGGAGTCCATCATGAAGAAGAATGAGTTCCTCTGCTGTCAGGACAGCTTCCTGCAGGTGAGCTTCACCAGGTGGCGGCCACCACTCCCAACCTGGCAGGTGGAGTTTATAAGCTGGTATTTTTGTGTATTTTTTAATGTAGTATTGATCCTTTATTTAAGAAGTTCAAAAATGGCCAAGGCAAAAGTCTCACCAGCCAATGTGAAGAATTTATCTCAAGTCTTTCTTAGTTTATGTCTTTGACCCAAGCATTTCCTTGTTGGAAGAAAAATGTAGTTAGGGATTGATTTTGTGTAAGCCCTCTCCTTAACAGCCTGCTAGACATGTTCTTGTCCTGAGGGCCACCTCTTCCCTTAGTCATTCAAAATCCCAGTAATTGTTAGTAGTAGTGTTGTTTTAAATTGTTCTTTCTCCTACCATATTATGGATTAGAAATCCATTGAGTCTGCCTTCCTTGTCCTTCCAGAGAACTGTTACCTCGATACCCTCCTGAGGTTTTGTGGTTGGTTTGTTTTTTGTTTTTTTAATTGTACTGACCGCTCAGCTCTGTTATGCTCATAATCACGGTTAGGATCAAAAGCAAAAGGATACAGAAATCAGTAAATGGTTTCTTTGTGTACTGATTGGTAATGCAAATGTGGTACAGGATCAGCAGGCCAAGGAAGAATATGTCCCTTTCAGCATATCAAAAATAAAAACAGTAAGCAAAGCTTACATAAAAAGGTTTTCATTAAGACAGCTCTTACTTCTTCTATTCATGTGTATGAAAAGTGAAAAAGAGACTCTTCCAGATTTTAATGTTTAAATTCAAGAGTATGGCTAGGCTGTGAGCTTTGTTTTGATTCCCTCTAGGTTTTCTTCCTCTCCTCAAAAATAAAATAAATAATAGATTTTTTAAAAACCTAACAAGTTAGAATTGTGATTTGGTTTTTCTGCGTGATTACGCTTACCTGTTTGTTTTTCTGTTTATCCTCAAATACCTTCACTGAGACTGTTTATGAAAGCTATAATGAGGCAGCGTGCTTGGCGTGCTGTGAGTAACATGTGGAAAGGGCCGAACTCTGGCAGCCCCGTAGCTATTTGCCAGCACCAGAGATGACAGGTTTCTATCCTGGTTCTGGTAAACCCAGCTTCACTTTGGGCTGGTTTCTTTCTTGCTCTAGACAAGGCTTAGTAGGTGACCTCCTGTTGGGCAGTATCTGTTTATTTAGTGAGCACTGGTTCAGTCCTTACCATATGTCATACAGTCTGTAGAGCCCAGGGATGCAGGGATGACTAAACGTGTCCTCGCCACCAGTGGCTCACAGTCTCATACAGTCAAATTTGCCAAGAGGGTCCAGAATCCACTGGCCAGAACAGATTTGTCTGAGCTCATGAAGTGTTCTCCAGCCCTAACTGTCCCAGCTGACAGACAGCTCCTGAGTGGCACTGAACCCTGGCCCTTGCCCGAAGCTGATGCCCATGCTCACTGGCACACTGTGGAGTGTGAGAGTCTAACCCCTGATTAATCATGTGATTAATTGCCTGCCGGTTTCCATGTTGTGAGTTCCCCCTAGTTTGCATGGATTGGTTCAGTCTGAATTCTTAGTAGCTTATTTTATTTTTTATGTTTACCAAGTGAGTTTTTTTTCTTTTTTTAATTTCTAAACCTAACTTCCAGAAACTTTATGTAGGGAATCACTCAGCAAACCCATCATAAGCATGACCATTGGGGTAATGGCTGAATGCTCTCATTTTCAGTGTCTGAGCTGGTGAGTGGTTTTAGGTGTGTGTGCTTTTGACTCCATATGTGTGCAGAGTCCCTCACAGATGAAAGCCCCCCTGGCCTGCATAGCCTTAGGTTTCATTCCTGTTTTCCTGTGCCAATAGTTAAGGAAGACTTTAACGTGGTGATTGAATGGCAACATCTGGGCCAAGAAGGCTTTGGGGAGCTTGCTCTAGAGGACCCAGCCACAGCTAGGCAAGAGTCACTAATGTGTAAGAAGCTCTTTACACGGAATGGTACAGAGGAAAACTTCAGTGGCAGTGAGCATGAATGCCTCTGAATATTCCCACTGTTAGGCAGAGCCATGCCAGGAGAGATTGTTCCAATGACCTCTCCGGCTTTATTTCTCAGGTTTGCAAAAGCTGCAATCTAAAAATGTAGTCTCAGACTCATAATTAATAAGTGAATCTGGAGAGTTTCTATTTAAAAAGAGCCTCTTGAGAATATTCACATTGCTGCAAATTAATAAAAATCTTTAAATAAAAAGTCCTTTTTGAATAGAACAATGACTGGACTGCAGAGTAACCCTCCATGTATCTCCACGCTTTCTCAGTGGGAAGAAAGAGAACTGGCCAGCATGGGTAGGCATGAGAAACCTGTATTCATAGAAATGGGACAGCCAGAGTGTGCTGGGCCCCCCAGGTATCCCCTTGGCTGTGTGGGCTCCTGGGAGGCAGAATTTCCCAGTGGGCAAAGATGATAGATATCTCAGATCCCCTGCTCAGAGAGCAGACTTTGGAGAAAGCGTCTGACTTTGCGGAGAGGCTCGTTGCCTTGGCCAAGCCCCTGACCTCATGTAGCCCCTCAGTGCCCTCTGCTCTATGGTCACTTCGCTAATGTCATGCTGCCTCAAGGGATATCTCACCAAGCTGAGCAGCAACTGGCTAGGAAAGGCATAAGACCATGTGGGGACAGATACTAAGGCTGTTTAAACAAGAATGTCAAGTTCTAGTGTTTTACTTTCAGGAAAGGTAGTAACTAGAAATTGCTAGATAGTCACGGGGCAAACAAGATTTGTTTTTACAAGGTTTAGATAGAATGGGGCTAGAAAGTCTTAAGCTCTCTATGGGTACCTTCCAGGACTTTATTTTTACAAAAAGCTGGTTCAGGCTTAGGCATTTTCAGTAATGTGATAGGCTGGGTGGACTTAGGGCAGGTTGCTGGCCTTCTCCCTGGGGCCCTTAGCCTACCTGAACTTCATGGGGCTTCTCAGCCATCACAGTATGCAGTCTGTCCTCAGCCAGCCCATTTGTCTGCCTGCTTGTGGCATCTGTCCTCAATCAACTACATAAAGCAGCTGGACACCTGCAGTTGGCCACGCAGGCTCACTGCCCCCATGATTTCCATGCTGCTGCAAGAGAGGGTCAGTCTGTCCACACTTCCCCATATTCTTGAAAATTATCCCTGGGTCACAGCAGAGCAGCCGGTTGCCTTTGTTGCTACTGGCGGGTGTGTGCCATCAGATCACCCAGAGAAGTAGTACTCCAGAGCCAGTCAGTCCTGTAGCCCTTGAGGATTGACCCACTGTGAGCAGGACATTAACTGCTCCTTTGATAGTGCTCCCTCCCTGCGAGTACTCTCCAAGGGAAGGTGCTGGCCACTTCTAGTTTTGTGACAGTAGGCTGGGTTTATTACTCGGGCAGGCTGTAAATTGTAAAATGGTTAACTTTTCCCCTTTGAAAGGTCACCACAAAACTTAGAGTCAGGTCTGTGGCCTCTAAGCCTACCCTGTGATCTTCCACCTGATACTTTTCACCTTCTTTCTTGCTTTATTTGGCCGTCATCCTGGGCTCAGAGTATTGTACTTAAGTACAGCAGGAATGGCATATATATTAATGTTTCACAGCTGACTTTGAGAGTGGTTTCCAGAAATCCTTACAGAGTTTGAATTGTGTGTGGGAAGGGTGTTAGAACTGGGTAGAGGGGAGTGGACATGATCAGAGCCCAGGGTCAGTGGAGAAAGAGAAGCTGGAATTGGGAAGTTTACTTTGAAATGGAAGTAATGAGCATGTGTTTGAAATGCATGGAGTGTCTACAAAGCTATGCCTTAGCTGGTGGTCTTTTTTATTTATTTATTTATTTATTTTTGAGTTGGAGTCTTACCCTGTCGCCCAGACTGGGGCCACCACAGGCTCGACCTGCTGGGCTCCAGCGATCCTTCCGCCTTAGCCTTCCAAGTAGCTGGAACTACAGGCGCGCACTACCACACCCAGCTAATTTTTTATTTATTGTAGAGATGAGGTCTCACCAAGTTGCCCAGGCGGGTCTCAAACCCGCAGACTCAGGCAGTCCACTCACCTCAGCCTCCCAAAGCGTGGGATTACAGGCTGAGCCACTGAGCCCGGCTGCTGGTGGTCTTTAAATTGATTGTAATAGCATCAAAAGAAAACCTCAGAAATTCATCAATCTAGATAAGAAAAGTATAAATGTTCCAGTTACACCTGTTCTGAGCTGTGTTCCTGTGGGCCTCAGGGTATGCCAGAGAGCAAAGAGAAGGCTCCAAAGCACTGAGCACAGACCGCAGATGGTGCCGTGACAATAGTCAGTAAAGACACCTTAGCCGGTGAGCGTGTCTGATGGACAGTGTATGTAGTCCTTGGAAAACCACTTTATTTATTTATTTATTTTTTGAATTAGAGTCTTATTCCGTTGCCCAGACTGGAGTGCAGTGGTATACTCACAGCCACCCCAGTGCTGACCTGCTGGGCTCCAGCGATCCTTCAGCCTCAGCCTTCCAAGTAGCCAAACTACAGGCATGTGCTACCACACCCAGCTAATTTTTTGATTTATTGTAGAAGTGAGATCTCACCAAGTTACCCAGGCCGTTCTCAAACCTATGGGCTAGACAATCCCCTTACCTCAACTTCCCAAAGTTCTGGGATTACAGGATTAAGCCATCGTGCACCTAGATGGAAAACCACTTCATAATAATAGAAGCAATCCCCATATTGTACCCTTTGTGCTGTACATTAAGCTACCGCTCAAATATGATGCACTCATCATATATTACTGAATGGAGTGAATTACATCATCAGAATGACTGAGAAACATATAACTGATGCTTGCTATGTATTCTTTCAGGAAATAAAAAAATTCATTAAGGGGGTCTCTGAGAAGATCAAGAAAACCAGAGATAAATATGGCATCAATGATAACGGCACAACAGAGGTACTGGCCTTCCCCAGCATATTGGAGCCCTGAGGTGTTTGCAGGTGCTGCCAGCCCTAACTCTCCTCTTGGTTGTATTCTTCTAGCCTCGTGTGCTGTACCAGCTGGACCGCATCACTCCTACCCAAGTAGAGAAGTTTCTGGAGACCTGTAGGGACAAGTACATGAGGTAAGGATGCTGAATGCCTTCGACTGCTGCATCTATCTGGATCTTGCGGATCCCTCCTGTTTCCCCATGGTACAGACTCTTGTGCCAGCACCACCTAGTAACTGCCAGTATTTGAACAAATTCTGTTAGGAAACTCCAGTGGCTCACTGGGCTGAATGCTCTAAGATATAAAAATAACAGCAAAGAAATTTCTGTGTCTTCTCTCTACTGAACAACCGTCAATAAATATGGCAGTTGCCAGCTGCTCTGTCCATCTCCAGTACCATTTGTCAGCAGACCATGTAGTCTTCTCCATTTATCACCTGCTGAACACGAGTAGCCACGAAGAATTCAGTTGCATTCTCCACCTCCTCTGTGACTGTCGCTTTCCACTGTCCACACATATTCCTGTCTATGCTGGCTCTTCCTCTGTCACCAACATAGCCTCTTCTGTTGCCAATTCCTTCCTGATCCTAATAGCATCTTTATTTTTTCTGTTGAAACATAATAACCAGAAGCCAAGCTGGGCTCGGTGGCTCAGCCTGTAATCCTGCGCCTTTGGGAGGCTGAGGTGAGTGGATTGCCTGAGCCCGCGGGTTCGAGACCTGCCTGGGCAACTTGGCGAGACTTCATCTCTACATAAATCAAAAATTAGCCAGGTGTGGTAGCACATGCCTGTAGTTCCAGCTACCTGGAAGGCTGAGGCGGAAGGATTGCCAGAGCCCAGCAGGTCGAGGCTGCCGTGGCCGGGAGCGGCCACTGCACTCTAGTCTGGGCGACAGAGTGAGACTCCAACTCAAAAAAAAAAAATAAATAACCAGAAGCCTCTCACCATCAGTCTTGCTGGACTTTTCCTTGTCACATTGTGGTCTCCTCCATGCCTTTTTCTTCTAGAGCACAGATGGAGCCAGGTTCTGCAGTGGGGGCACTCTGTGCCCAGAGCATTGGTGAGCCGGGCACCCAGATGACCCTGAAGACTTTCCACTTTGCAGGCGTGGCCTCCATGAACATCACACTAGGTGTGCCCCGGATTAAAGAGATCATCAACGCCTCCAAGGCCATCAGGTGCCTGGCTTCATCTCCCTCTGCTCTCACACACAGGCCTGTCACGTTTCTGGAGAAACAGCAATCCTTGTGTCACATGCATATTATAATACTCTAATGGGACACTGTCTCACACTCTAGGGGGGAGTACTTGCTGTGTTAGTCATACTTTGGTTTTTAAAAAAGCCACTCAAAAAAAAAATAAGTTGCAACTGGAACAGTCAAAATGGAACAATGTTTTTTTATAGCCACAAGTCACATGAAAGGGAGAAATTTTTTTAAATGACTGGAAAAATTGGAGCAATGTGTCAGGGGAGAGCTCATCCTTTTGGTGTCATTATTCCAGCCTAATTAGACCTGACCAGTATGTCTACCACTTGGCCTGTGAGCACCCCCCTACCACACCCTCCTGTATTTGATTTGAAGTTAAAAGAAATAGAAATGCATTACGGTGCCTTTGGTGTCAAAAATCATAATTTCACCTATGACCTGAATCAAATGAAATGACAGTAAATGGGTTTAAATGAAAGATAGCCAAGGTTATAGAACAGCTGCTATAATGTCCAGAGTGGTAAGAACTTGCCCACCTCTTCTGGGATGGTCAGATCAGTCCCAAGAGTGTGTATTCTGGGGACTCCCTCTGGAACAGTGAGGACAGAAGCGAATGGCTAGTGGTCAGAGGAGTTGGAGGTGTTTCTGGAGAAGTGATGGGGGAGGAGAGGGGTGAGGGAAGTTGTAATATATAGAGGATCAGTTTACTTACGGAACAGAGCTAAAATAACTGCTTGTTAGAACCAGACAGAGGGAGAGAGAAAGGTGGGCCTCACTTTGTAAGGAAGAATTTTTTGAAAGTCTCTTCATTCACTTATGGAGTAGGTTGCCTGGGGAGCACCAAACATAGTCTAAATGAGAATGTATATGAGGCCCTTAGCGGCATGCCTGACACAATAAGTGCTCGGTAAACTGCACTTAGGATTCTAACTAGTACTCAGATTCAGCAAAGCAGTGGTTGTCAGCAGGCTCATCCTTGATGCTAGAATTGTTTTTCCATTGCTTCTTCAGCACTCCAATTATCACAGCACAGCTAGACAAGGATGATGACGCAGATTACGCACGCCTCGTGAAAGGCAGAATTGAGAAAACCCTCTTGGGGGAGGTAAGGAGAAATCCTTGGTGCTTGCAAGGAAACTAGCTCCATGGTGTCACAAGTGTCAAAACCAGCTGCAGTGGCTCAGCCACTCAATGGTGTCCACACTGTTCCAGTTCTTCAAAAAAAGCAAGCAGTTGCCTGCTCCTGTGAAGGGGTAAAGTGACTGATTAACACTCTGGTCTTTTGGCACTGCAGATCTCAGAGTATATTGAAGAAGTGTTTCTTCCTGATGACTGTTTTATTCTTGTCAAGCTCTCCCTGGAACGGATCAGGCTTCTGAGACTGGAAGTGAGTCATGTAATTAAATGTGTAGAGGAAGTCATCCTGTTAGTCCCAAGCCAGGTGCTGATAAACTAGGACAGGAGCTCACCAAGACAGAGGAGGCATCGCAGAGGATTCTGTTTGGTTCTGGCTTTTGTGATTCTGTGGTACCTTCTCATTTGCTCTTTCTGAACCTGTCCCTGGCACAAATGATAGCCATCTAATGACATGCAGGAAATGAGTTGAAATTTTGTACAAGCCACAATATCAGGTCCCCATGATGTGGTCTTATGATAACTGGTCTCCTTGTCCATCTTCCCAGTGTCTGGAAAGACCCTAGGGCTGGCTGTTCCTTACTCACCATTACCCAGCACAGCACCTGGCTGATTTGGTACATGTTTTTAGATGGGTAGGTTAACCTGACTTTTTATACTGGCATTCATGGGTTGGTAATTGTTGAAAGATCATCACCCATCCCCATAAACAGACTGAGATGGGCTGCAAACTGAGTAACTTCCTGACACCTTTTTTCTCTCAGATAGTGAAGCCTATACTAACCTTTAAAACACATTCTGAGTCCAGGCGAGATCACTCGATACCAGCCTGGGCAACATAAAAGACCCAGTCTCATGTGCTACCCATATAACACTTGACTCTGAAATTTCTCAGCCCGTTCTCCAGCTTGGGGATTTCTCTAGCCTGTCTCTGCTTCCTGTCGTGTGACTCTTTTACTAGAAGAGCTGAGTTGTGTCCAGGAGTGTGGCATGCAAACAGTTGTAGCATCAGAGGGGAAACTCCACTGAAGCTTCCAAATCAGCCTGGTTTCCTACCTGCAGCCCCCCTAAAACTTCCACAGAGGTTGCATGTGTTGCTGTGAATTGAGCGCGAGTTTGCCTAGGGGAAAATATTTATTCTTTGCGGATGCAAAAAAATATGTTTTTATGAAGAAAGCACAGATAGATATACATATAGTACCCAAAGTAGATAGCATAACTGTGGTATTAAAATTCCCTGGTGGAGGGTACTTGAGGAAAAAAAATGACTGAAAAGTCTTTTTAAAGGGGCAATAATGAAAATTAAGGGTAAAAAAACACAGGAACAGAAGCCTCCAAGCCTCTGTGAGTAATGCCTTGTGTGGCCATGTTGCAGGTGAATGCCGAGACCGTGCGATACTCCATCTGCACGTCCAAGCTGCGCGTAAAGCCTGGAGATGTGGCTGTTCACGGTGAGGCTGTGGTGTGTGTCACCCCCAGAGAAAACAGCAAGAGCTCCATGTACTACGTGCTACAGTTCTTGAAAGAGGATCTCCCTAAGGTGAACCCAAAGTCACTTGTAATGGAAACACAGTATCCACCTGTAGTGCGAGCCACCCAGGATGGGAACCCTAAGGATGTTGTTACTAGGCGTGTCTCTTTATTTCTGCTTGGCCTCATTCCTAAGGAGTTAGTCTGTCCAATTCCTCCCTGTTCTGTCATAAAACTGACATGAGAATGAGGTGCAGTCCTCTGAACTTCTGTTTTCCCAAACCCCCAAAACAGCCCGCAGGCATCCTTAAGTCTAATGTGTCCTGGATGACCACTGTTAAGAGTTGGGGGTGGTCAAGTGACCAGCCCAGGGCACAGCACACCCAGTCCTCACAACTTTCACTGTCTCTGGTTCCAGGTGGTGGTGCAGGGCATCCCAGAGGTATCCAGAGCTGTCATCCACATCGACGAGCAGAGCGGGAAGGAGAAGTACAAGCTTCTGGTGGAAGGTGACAACCTGCGGGCAGTCATGGCCACCCACGGTGTGAAGGGCACGCAAACCACCTCCAATAACACCTACGAGGTACCGGTCGGCCCACGGGGGCCTCATAGAGTTAGGCTGTCTCCTTCATGTCACCTGCAGGTCCTCAGCTGGTTCCTGATACACTTCTCTGGCCCTCCTGTTTGCTCAGGGTCTCCTACTAAAAACTGCCCAGCAACCTATTTCTGGAAAACAGCACAGGGTTTGCTTTGAACCTGCAGGGAATAGAAGAAAGTAGAGAGAGGTTGCAGTAGCATCCTAGAGGGGACCGCTTCTACTCATCTGTAGCTCTCTGTAGGTGGAGAAAACCCTTGGCATTGAGGCGGCCCGGACAACCATCATCAGTGAAATCCAGTACACGATGGTCAACCACGGCATGAGCATCGACAGGAGGCATGTGATGCTGCTCTCCGACCTCATGACCTACAAGGTTCGTCAGCAGGGAGGCTTTGGGCTGCCTGAGTGTTTCAAGATTCACTCTCAAGGGAATAATGCTGGTGGAGCTTCTAGGACATGTAGAATATTCTCTGGGAAGACCATCACAGAAAATAAAATGCCACCATCCCTCAGAAACCAAGGCATGGTGGTCAGGACAGGTGTTCTGGTACAATCCCAATATGAGAGTTGCAGCCTTGTGGCAGATTCACATCCAGCTGGTGGGATGAGGAGAGCTGGAACATGACTTTCCTTCTCAGTTTTATCCTAAAGCAAAATGAGCCATTGCCAAAAGCCCAGAGATTCCCATGACAAGCTGAGGCATTTTTTCTTATTAAATCCATTCATCACACTACTTCTATAGACATTTCCTGGGAAAGAATAAGTTAACATGATTTGAGGTTAGAGGAGGAGGGAGCAGCTGAGGTTGCTTGGTTTGGTTTTTCTGTTTTGATTTTTTTTTTCTCCAAAAATATATTTTCCTCTAGCAGTGCCATGGGGCAGCAGGTTTTCATGAGGCTTTCTCAGACGCCTATAGTGTATTACAGCATATTTAGAAACTGAGTGAGACTGGGCTCGGTGGCTCAGCCTGTAATCCCAGCACTTTGGGAGGCCGAGGTGAGTGAATTG